AGCAAAGACGCCTGCTTCGATGCAGTTTTTCAGCGTCGCGCGTGAAGGGTATCCGAGGCGCTGGTGCCAGAGAGTATCGTCATCGCGAAAGCCAGAGGTGCGCATGTAGCGCGCGCGCGCGCTTCCTCAGGGTCTTCGTCAGGTACAGGAGCAGGTTCTGCTGCTACTCCCTCTGCTTCTTCTTCTTCTGGCGCGTTAGTCAGCATCAACGCCAAAAACTCTCTATCGCGAATCTCAAAGAGCAGAATGTTGGTCCCGGGGATGGTTCCAGGGATGAGGATGGGTTCGCATGGCTCAGGGGCAGGTTCATAGACGGTGCGACGCGGGGTTCACGGCTCGTTGCCCCAGATGATGGTGTCCCATGGATCGCGACGCGGGGGGTTGTCAGGAGGAGGTGGTGCGAGTGGAATGTGACGCGGGGGGCGACCAAGAGGAACGACTGCAGGTGTTGCCTCAGTTTCCTCAGCTTCATCCTCTCCCCATTTTCGTTCTTCGCGGAAAGTACCCCAACCGCTATTGTCGGCGCTAGTTGCGGCGCCCCATCCGCCGCTCGCGTTGGCCCAGGTTCCGCCGTTGTCTCCCTAGCCGCTAGTGTCACTTGTTCCCCATCCTCCAGCGCTCCTCCACCCCCCTTCATTGGAGGCACTTTCTTCAGCCTCAGCTCCCCAGGTGGCGCAAGCGAAGGTCCCACGTGCTTCTACGAGGCTTTGCTGGCGAAGCTCCTCAGCTTCGCGGCGCGCCAATTCTTCCTCTTGCTCGGCGGTGAGTTTCTTCGATGAGTCGCGTCGATGAGAGTAGATGGACAGAAACCTCTTGTAGGTGTAGGGTCGTGGCTCGCCATGGGCATCAAAGGTGCCGACGCCAGTTTCGCGCAGCATGCCTTGAAGGTGTTGTGAGGGGGGACCGATGAGGGGATGCTCTGGCATTCCGAAAATGCCGTGGGTAGTAACCTCAAGCTCGAGCTACGACATCCCTTCCTCTGAGGGTGCGTGGCGCTCTGCTTCAGCGATGGCGGCGAGTCCGCGGCCGGCAATCGCGCTCATTGATGTCGTCGGCGTGTAACAATCACTGCAGAGCCATCCGGATCGGGGTTGTGTAACGCCGTTTCGCGTGGGTGGGGATGATGCGGCACCCACGGTCTGTCGTCAGGGTGCTTCCAATCCCTGCGGTGGATGTGCTCGAAGCGCAGTGGCACGAGATCAATCAACTCGTGCGAGTCGCCGCTGCAGTCGAGAATGTCGAAATCTAGGACATACACTCCATTTTCGGAGTGCGCTCGTCCGATCTGCCTGCGGGGAAATGTGTGCGATTCGTAGTGCAGCAGGATGTCTCACGTCTCGCGATCCGTGCTGAGGTCGACGCCGCAATCCATGACCTGTGCGGCGGACAGGAGGTTGAAGCGCAGGTTCTGGACGATCAGCACATCGTTAAGCGTGATGTGCGTGCGGCTTCCACGTGCTTTGAGCACGACAATGCTTTGTGCGCTTGCGCGTAGGCGTGTGTTGTTTGCCACAGTGACGTAAGTGACTGTAGGGGTGGGGACGGCGTTGGATATGTAACACTCGGAGCCCACCATATGCTGGTCGCAGCAGCTGTCCAGGTACCAGGTGTTGTAGCGCTTGTCGTCGTCACGTGCGAGCAGCGCCAGTCGCGGTGTAACGATGTGCGGAGTGTCGAACTTCAGAAATTGCTCGCGCGAGAGCCAATCAGGTGGCGCCACCCGCATATCTGGTATGTGCGGGGGACTTTCAAGCAACAGGACTGGGAGGTTCCAGTCCTGGTCGTCGTCGTCGTTGAAGTCGCGGCGCGGGCTGAACGGGTTGTTGTTGGTGAATGCGCCGATGGGGTGCGGTGCTGGCTCAGGTGAGGGTGGGCGAACACGGCGACGACGTGACTCGCCTGTCATGGCCATGTTCCTCCTGACGTTGCGCGTAGGGGCAGTTGATGGCTGCTGCTGCTGATGTTGAATGGTTGAGTTCAGATTGCGCGCGGGTGGGGGTTGATACCCTTGGGCTGGACGCACGTCGCCTCGTGCGTCTTGTCGGCCGGACTAGTTGCTCGGATTGGTCTGGCGAGGGCGAGATCGGAACTTACATCGATCCGCCAAATGCCCGAAGTTTCTGCAGATTTTGCAGTAGAGGCGCCGCGGTCGTCGCTCTTCGTTGTTGTCGGCGTAGAACGCGAGCCGTTCACGTTCTCGTCGTGGCGCTGGTCGCTGCTGATCCATATCCCGTTGTTCGACGAGAAGGGCGGCGCAAAGGGCGGCCTCCGAGATGACCCCCTGCTGTCGAAGGAGCGCCTTGCAGGGCCGCCACTCTGGGCCAAGCCCTTGAAGCACAATGTTCACGAAGATTTCCTCGGAAATCGAGCTTCCCAACTTCACGATTTGATCGCGAAGGCTGCGACAGCAGTTGATGTAGCTGTTGACTTTCTCCCCTGAGGTAATCTTAGTTTCCAGCAATTGCTGGAGTAATCGGCTCAAGGAGACGGAGTCCTTGGGCTGATACACGCCGTTCAGGTGGCGCCAAGCGTCGAGGGCTAGGGCAGCCGATGTCTTGTATGAACGAATGTTCAGCTGCTCCGCCGGCGACATGTTACGCAGAAGAATCCCGTATGCCATCAGGGACTCGTTATAATAGTGAGTCCTTGCGTCGTCGGTGTCCTCAGCAAGTCCCGAGTAGCTCTCGTCGAAAGAATGATAAATCTGCGCGTTTTGCAGCAGCAGCTCCAGCTCGAAGCTCCAGGTGTAAAAGTCTCTGCCGTCAAAGCACACACTTGTCTTTATTTTTGATATGCTCAAAAACCTTGATTGCGCAGAGAGAATTGCTTCATCGCTGGGACAGGGAGTCTTGGGGGTTTGAGCCATTCGTGTCTAGGGAGAAGCCTTGCGGGGCGGAGTTTTGGCCGTTTGAGGCCGGTTGAGTGGGTTGGGAAGGAGTTCCCGCATCGCCATTCCGCAATGTCTGGAGCCCTTGCACCAGGCTCGTGAGTCGCTGAAGTAGTTGTGCAAGGACGGCGGAAGGAATCGTCGTCGTTTCCTCGTTTGTCGCAGCCGGGTTGGGCTGCGCTTCAGCCGCCAGATTCGTCTGACATCCAGATCCTCTGGCCATTCTTACACGTGATCGTGTGCCGGACGCCACTTTCCGAATGTCGCAGATTTCGGAGATGGCGGTGCGAAGGATTCCTGAGTCGCTCTCATACCATGCTGCGATCAGTAGTTGATTGTGGCCTAAGATCTACTCAGGAAGGTTGGCACGCAGAGAAGTGATGTTGGTGGGCCCTTAACCTCAATAGCAGAGTGAATGTAAAATGCTTTGAGATGAAGTAAAACATGCAAATACAGCAAATATAAATATGAGTACAGGGGAGATGAAACGACCTAGCTAGCCTTATACTCTAAGGGGTACATTCCCTTATTCAAATACGTTCCCAACTGTGCGGCGCGAACAGTTACGAAACTGTTCCCGCCGAAACCATCCTGCCTGTAGCTGCCTGATGCTGTCTGCTCCGACAGTTCAGATGCGTCCCAACTGTCTGACGCTTCGAGTCGTTTCCAACCGTCTGACGCTTCGTATTCATTCGCGATACTGCGTGCTTCTCTTTGCTGCGGTGAGGGGTGCACAGTAATATTCAAGCATTACTATTCGTAACACATTCAACTACAATCTGGAGGCCCAAACTGAACGTACCGTTCAGATGACGGAGCATTCGAGTCGACACCAAACGCTCCTCGGAGTCCTTATACAACAGCACAAATGCCTCACTTTTTAAGCTTGTTCAGTCTGAGGTGTGCTATTGTAATAATATCAGCCAATGAGTTGTCTATTCCCGAGGTGGAGGTAACATCCGGCAGTAAACGCAGTCTATCGCTCGCACGTCGCTGCACGAAAGCCGCCGAAGTCGTAGAATCCATTTTGCGTGTGTCCACTTGGCACTTGTTCCGCCGAACATCGTCCCATTGGCTAGGTGGCACCAAACATGCTCCAACGAGTCGCTCAATACCACACCGAAGTACTTCGTGGCGATGTCGCACGGCTTCGGCCTGACAAACCACGGGGATAAAGAGGCTCGGATAGAGAGGCTCGACCTGTTTGCCTTTGGTTCCGAACCGACCCTGAACTTGCCTGCCATTGGTGTACGAGTGGCCGAAGCTTGGTTGGGCGCAGCTTCGGAGGTTGATGGTGAGAGCCCACAGAACCTTGTTTGGGGGAGTGCCTACGGGTCCCGGACCTAATAGAAGTTCAGAAATCGATGTTCCCCAAGAGGTTCCGTGTCGCATTTCCCCCAACAGGTGCATTCTGGAGGACTTCTAGCTACGGGTTGCCTGACAACCTCGAGGCTTGGTGGGCATGAGCTGACCTGACATTCGCGTTGCACACATCCGCCTCGAATCTCTCCTCCTCTCCCGCCCGCTCGCACCTGGATCAATTCAACAGCCAGGGCTGGCTGGCTGTGATAATCACCAGCAGCCTTTTTCCCAGGTCGCATGATGTCTTGGCTTTCTTCCTACGTGACGCATCTCACACTAAACCTCCACCAGTACTGCTGGGCCATCTTGTAATTAATGGAAGGATGTCGACACGCTCAATGCGGATTCGTACACACTTTGCTCCTTAGTGCTCGTTGAGGAAAGGTTGACCACTCGAGCGACGGATCGAGCCAATACAAAATTCCCGCTAGTCATGGAGCGGCGTGCGTATTCGCCGCTACCAGCGCAAACCCGCAACTCTTTCGATGAGCCTATCGCGAGCCCGCTTCGCACGGGCTCCACCAACCGCAGCGGGAAAAGAAATTGGAGCCCTCTTTCGGGGAACTTTCGCCTTTTCAGTCTGGAGGAATCAAGTCAATGCGGCTCGAAACGCGTAAAAGGCGACGATTCGTCGACGGCGCCGGTTGCGGGGATCCACTCATTTATCGCAATCGGAGTTGTCCTCGCCATAGTGTTTGTCGCTACGTTAGCAGCCATGGGGAGAGTCGTGCAGCTTTCGCTCTCACAGAACATGCAGGGTTCGCGGAACCTTCTCTCGTCGTCGAGTGATGTCACAGTAGCCATCACTAGCCACGACTGGAAAGATAGTGCGAAGGGTATCGGCGCCGGCAAAAGCGCCGTGGATGGCGGAAACGAATTCGACGGGGTGGATAGCTGGCGAGGCGCGTTCGCCGGGGAGGTGGTGACTGTGGAAGAGGTCCGAGAAGACAAGGGGGAAGCGAAACGGCGGAAAGGCAACCGGGGAAAATCGAAGAAATCGAAGGCGGGGGAAAAGCGAGGAGAGGATGCGGCGGTAATGGGGCGCACGGGTGATCAGGGTAGCAAAAAGGGGAAAGGACTGGTTGTTGAGATTGCGGAGAAGGAGAAAGGGAAGAAGCGGGAAGAGATGGTGATCAAGGTTGGCGGGTTGACCAAGGAAGCGAAGAATGACACCCGCGAGAAGAGAGGCGAGACAGGCGAGGAGGGGGAATTGAAGGGATCAGACAGCAGAACGGAGGAGCAGCGTGATGAGCGGCGGGAGGAGGGGATAGAAAAGGATCACGTAGGGAAGGAGGAGAGTGCACGGGATAGCAGCAGCACGCTGCATACCGACAGCACGCGGCAGGAGAGCGGCACGCGGGAGGAGAACACGACGGGGGAGGGAGGGCGTGAGATTGGTAGCGATACGCGGCAGAAGGAGGAGGTCGGGGGGAAGGCGGAGGCAGCTGCTGGCGCGCATGAGGGGAAACATAGCAGCCCAGGGGCACAGGCAGCCAAATCGGATGTCGCATGGGAAGCGGATGTCGCACCGGAAAGAGAAGCAGCGGGAGAGTCAAAGGCATCAGGGGAGGCGGGGGCGGCATCAGGGGAGGCGGAGTCGGCATCAGGGGAGGCGGAGTCGGCATCAGGAGAGGCGGGGCCGGCATCAGGGGAGGCGGAGACGGCATCAGGGGAGGCGGGGGCGGCATCAGGGGAGGCGGAGTCGGCATCTGGGGAGGCGGAGTCGGCATCAGGGGAGGCGGGGGCGACATCAGGTGGTGGAGTTAGCGACGCTGCAGTGATCGCTGTGGCCGAGGTGCGACCCTCACTGGCAGACACTCCCTCGCTGTCATGCCTGTACGCATGTGTCATGTGTACCCACGCTCGGTGAAGTGCATACGCATACTCACGCTCCGTGTCTCTCTATCCACGCTTCCCCGCCCTTCCTGGTTCTGCATCCCTCTTTACTTCCGCCCCCCCCTCTCCCCCCTTCTTCTTTCCCAGGGCAACCTAGGCGCACGCCTGCAGGCGCTTTGCCTTGCGCCCGCCGTCAGCGCGGTGTGGGGCGCGCGCGCACCGGGGGAGGCGGATGCGGGGAAGAAGGAAGGGGATAAGGCGAGGGAGGTAGCCGTTGTGTGGAGTGACTCAGCGGTCGCGGATGCTGACGTGGACGGAAGTGCTGCTGATTCCGCTGGCGGCAGTCCCAAGAAGGGACCCGCAGGGGAGGGGTTCTTGGATTTATTCAGCGGGTTTCCCGGTGTAGATGCATTACGGTTAGACGAGAAGGATAAGGCTGCTTGGCCGAGTGTGACTGTAACGGGAGCAGCCTCTGCTGCTCCTCTTTTAGAGTCACGGAAAGAGGTGCAAGTCTCGTTGCCGGCCTGTGTAGACGAGGGGTCGGAATCGGCCAATACGAGCGCGACAAGCGGCAACAGCAGCAGCAGCGCGGAGGTGCCCGGATTGTCGTTGTCGCTGTGGGTCCCTTCTGGACTAAGCCACGTGGCAAGCAGAGAATGGGTGAGCTACTCGGAGTCTCAATTCTTCTTAAACACTTTTAAGTCTCATTTCCCACGCCATGCGTCTTTCTCGAACTAAGTTTGCCACCGTACTGCACTCCTCGCCACAAGTGTTCCCCCCCCTCTCTGGAACTTCCTCTCCCCCGGTCCCCCCAACCCTTCGTTTTCTTCCCTTCTATTTCCTTTCCCCTTCCCGTCCTACCCCCTATCGCCGCATCTCCCCCCAGACCCCCCCCGAGGCATGCTCCGCCCTCCGCCTCTTCCAGTCTTGCCTGGGCGCTCTGCAGCCCTCGCCACGTGTCAGCAGATTACTGGAGGAGGGAGCGCTGGGGGAAACGGGAGCAGCTGCTGGGAGGTCTGAGGGGGAGATAAAGGAGGGTGGGGGAGGACGGGTAAAGGGGGGATCTAGGGAGAGACTAGCTCGTAGCACGGCTGTGTATCTGGAAGCCAATCAGGTGATGCCAGGGGGCACGTGCGGAGGGTGCCCCGAGGACCCTCTACTCAACTGCACGCTTCGCGCGCTGACGTGGCGCTACCTGCGCGTGCCGTCCAACTCGTCTGACGTGGACTTCACTGTAGCAGCTGCCTCTGCTATAGACGCTGCTACAGTCGCAGGCACCTTCCATCCCCTGCGCGCCCCCCTCCTCCTCCCCCACACTGCTGTCAGAACGGCCATGGGTTGCCCCTTGAGAAGACCTCCCTCCTCCTCCTCCTCCTCCTCCTCCTCCAGTGCGTCGCCCAGCAGCAGCTCTGCTGCGTCTGCCTCTTCCGATTCCTCACCACCATCCTCATCCTCCTCATCACCATCACCACCATCCGCATCGTCTTCGTCGCGGCGACTGTTGGCGCTTAAGGGAGGGGAGAAGGAGCACGAGGAGCAGGAGAGGAAGTCTGGTTCACCGGCTGAGTGGTCTGGGAGCGATAGTAGTGAGAACAGAAGCAGTGGGACGAGGAGCAGCAGCAGCAGCAGCAGCAGCAGTGGGGAGAGCAGGGCGGAAGGGCACGAATGGAGTTGTGGTCAACTGGAGGTAAGCATCGCTGCTGGTCGTTGCATGGATGTACGTATGCATGGATGTATGGATGAATGGATGCATGCACTTTCCAACCTACCATCCACCATCTCACCGCTCTCTCTCTCCGCTTTCTCTCTCTGCCTTCTCCATCCGTCGTCTCCCACCTTCTGTCCTCTCCACCCCCATCCCTCAATCTCCTTCCATCACACACCACCAGCTGGCGGAGCTGCTGCTGCTGTCGTGGGCTCGAGGGCTCATCCACTCGCGCCCCTCCGTGGAGGCTCTCTTCATTGCCGCCCAGGGGAAGCACCGGGCGAGTCAGAGCAGCAGTGTGGGGGGAGATGTGGGAGCCTCTGCAGAGGCTGCTGCTGTCCGCCCTCTGGCAGCCGCGTTTGTGAAGGAGGAGAGTGTGTGCGCTGCCCCTCGTGTTGCCCGGTTTGTGGACCAGAAGTACCTGCAGCAGATGCTCGTCGATGGTGAGTGAGCCTCAGCCTTGTGCTTGACGTGACCCAGTTTCTTTTGTTTTTGTGCATGAATATGCATAGCTATGCATACTTCTGCCCGCACATGTACTGGAGAGCGATGGGTTTGTGGACCAGAAGTACCTGCAGCAGATGCTCGTCGATGGTGAGCTTGCTTTTCCCCCCACTTGACATAACCGGAAGTAACTGCATTCGCTCTAAATGCATGTGGAATCACATTCCTGGTGCTGGCACGTCTTTGCGACAAGGTGCCGAATCTGCCGCTGTTGCTGCCTCAAGTGCCTCCCATCCCTTCTATCCCATGCAACATCCCAGCCTCCAATTGAATCTGCTGCTATCTCCTCTCTCCTCCGCCCCACACACCTCAGAGGAGCTCAAGGTGGTGTACTGCTTTGTCCCCAAGGCGGCCTGCACGAGCTGGAAGGTGTGGTTCCGCCAGCAGCTGTCCAAGCGACTCGGCAGCATGAAGTCATACGGCGTGCCGGAGCGAATCATCGTACACAACCCGCAGCAGAGCGGGCTGAGCATCATGGGGTACGGGTTTGAGGAGCACGACAACATTCGCTTCCTCACCCGCCCGGACTTCTTCAAGTTCTCGTTTGTGCGCAACCCGTTTACACGGATTGCATCGGCGTATCTGAACAAGCACGTGGACGGGGGGTATCCGCACGACCGCAAGTACTGGAACGAGGTGAGGGCTTTTCTCTGATGATTTTCCACATGTGTGTTAGAACATAAAGGATGGAGGGAACAAGCTGGAACCGACTGGAACGTAGTGTGGCTGGTGTGGTGTGGTTGGAGTGTTGGGATGCAGCATGGCAAGGAAGCTGTGCATTCCCGTTGCTTACTCCCTGCCTCTCTCTCCCTGCTTATCTCTCCCTGTCTGCAGCGCTTCTTTGCAGGGCTACAGGCGTACAACGAGCTCATGAAGAGCCAGAACGGTAGCGACTTCATCCCCTTCTCAACCTTCATGTCATTCCTCCAGATGCAAGCCACACGCTATGTAGCGCGCATGGACCCCCACGTCCGCCCCCAGGTATGTCCCTTCACCATTCCTCTGCCTTCCTCCCTTTGCCCACTCTCCCTTCACGCACCCTATCTTTCATTCTCTCGATCCCTCCCCTCTTGGTTTCCTTCCTCCTTTGTCTTCTCGCATCGTTTCTCCTTTTGAGAGCCATGCATTCCCCTACCTGGTCATTGTATGTGCTCTGATTGGCCAAACACCCCTTGCTCCCTGGTTTGATTGCGAGTTTCAGATAAATCTGTGCAAGCTGAATTCGATCCGATATGATTTTATTGGGCGGTTTGAGAATCTAGAGGAGGATGTGGCGAAGGTGATGCGGCAGTTTGGGAAGGAGGGGAAAGATGCCTTTAATATTGGCCATGGCGCACACCCAACTAATGCGTCGGATAAGCTTCTCGAGTTATATGACCAGGTGAGTCTAATGGTGTACGATTAACTCCTTGAAGTTGCATATTTGAGGGCACATGCACAACCAACATTTGTTTTAATCCCTTTTTGTTATGTGCAGGGAGCTTTTGAGGCTGCTATGGTCGCATACAAGACAGATTTCAGTGTGTCTTTAAATGGTATAGAGTATGGACCGCCACAAGCTTTAGTGGAAAAGTTTGGCTCTGGAACGAGTTAAATATAACTTATATATTATGTTATGGCTGGTGCAAATGCACCCGCTTATATTATTATTATTGTTGTGGAGTCCCCTCATTTAGTGTGTCGCTTGAAGTGAAGTCTTTGGCCGTGTGCGAGTGACTTCTGAGTTTGACTGTTGCCTGCCCCTCGCGAATCTATCGCGCCCACTCCCAATGCCCGAGCCGCACATATGCAGCATGTCAATCGGCAAGTTCATTCGCCTCGCCTCGCCTCGCCTCGCCACCCATACCATGATGCGCGGCAACGTAAAGGAGACCTGCTTCGCAAACGCGCAGGAGCCGACGAAATTGGGACAAATTTGCTGGTGTGCGACACGAATGGTAAAGGGTTTACGTGAGAGATTGACGAGGGGGGAGGTGTCGCATAAGTCGTAAGGGCTGTCAAATGGTGGCTGTCAGTCGCAACCAATCAGTTTCCGCCTCACACATACCCATTTTCAAGCAGCCGATTTTCAAGGCGGAAAAATGAATGTGTACCTTCCCTGTCAGCCAAACCTATCACCAGATCCTACGTTCCAGCTTCACGTGGTTGAACGTGTCTTTGAACGGTTCTGAACAAATTGTCAGTATTTCAGTGCGGTGACGAGCCGTATTCGAGTCGGACCTTCAAGAATCTCACCTTGCACCCAACCAGCTTGTTCCCTCCCTACGCTTTTGTCCAAGCCACAATCCGTGAACGGGCGGTCCAACACTTGGAACCAGCGCAATTCCCACGACCCCCCTTGTTTTTCTTTTGATTTGCTTCCTTGCTCTTAGAGGGCGCTCCCTCTCACTGATCAGTGGCGACATGGCAACGCCGGTTTGATCGATGCGACTAGAAATTAGTGTACTAACCCTAGCCTCCACATCTTTCATGGTATCAGGAGAAACGATGTCACGTATTCGTGTCTAGTCTGCACCTCCTCTTCGAAACGCCCTCAAACGGACGTCGCTTGATTATACAACATTCCCGGTTTCCTTGCGAAGCTTTTAACGTATACAAAGTATCGCAGCAATGCTACGAAGTCCAGAGTATCACGGCCGCGATGGCGGAAGCATCTCCCGTGCTGCAGCCTGCCGCTGGTCCCCCGCTATCCCGAGCCCCGGATACTGGCAGAAGATCCGCGGAAAGAAAGACTTCACAGACTCCGTGCGGTTCGGGTGTTTCGTGTCGCTAGCTCTCGCGTCGGCGGTTGTTGTAGCGCTCGCGGCTGTGATGATAGTCTCGCCGCAATCCCCGCAAAAGCTGCTGCTTAACTCCGCGTTTTCCGCGTCCTCCTCGTTGCCGATTCTTCCGGCGAAGAATGCGGCGACAGATGCGGCGACAGATGGGAGCTCATATGAGATTCGCGCGGAACGAAGCAGCATGCCGGAGACGAATAGCGGCGTGGCTGTCGCCATAGCGGAGGTACGAACCAGTAACGTGTAGGCTTTTCGTGAACTTATAAAGGGTAGATCGTACGGCTCATTGCTCACAGCTCTTAGGGTAAACTCACAAGTTACATCAACGGTTCACAGGCTACAGTAACGTGTCAACTCCACGGCGAATCAGCGGCATGTCGCAGTCACTGCTTGACACGCCTCCGCGCAAATTGCTCTCCGCGTTCTCCCACCGATTTTATTATCGTTCCCCCAACGTTCTTCTCCGCTTTCCCCCATCCTTCTTCTCCGCGTTCCCCCGACAGGGCGATCTTCCCGCGCGAATGCAGACCCTCTGTCTCGCACCCGCGGTGGCGGCAGCGCTGTGGCGCCGCCAGCAGCAGCGGACGGGGGAGGGGTGGACGCAACCCGCGGGTACGCGCCTTGGGCTTCGCGCAGGGGCGGAGGGAGCGGAAGGAGAGGCCATGCGCATTTCGATAGTGTGGGCGCAAAAAGCAGCAGAACGCGGAGCGGAAGGGGGGAATGCGGATGTGGCGTTCCGCGCGCTGTTTCAAGGTCCGCCCGCGCGCAGCCGAATGGAGCTTCCCCGCGGACTGGCGGAGTATTGGCCGGATGTGACCGTGTCGGAAGGGCCAAGCGGCGAAGACGGAGAGCGCGAATCGCGGGAAGGGTTGGAGGAAATCACAGTGAGTACTGGGTGCTCATGTGTGGATAAGCCACTTACCCCTCCCGTCAACCTGATTACACTTCTTGGCATATTGTATTTCGAAGCGCCTCCACAGTCGCATTCTCCGCCTGATTGGATGCCTTGTGATACCGTCCTCTATAGATGATTGTTAAAATGAACCTTGCTCATTAATTTGTCCTCTCCCGACGCTCCTCGTTGATTACGCGTCCCTCTTCCTCGCCGCTCCCCTCGTCTAATCAATCCCCACCGCTGGAAACATTCGTCCTTCCTTCCCATCGTTCGTGCTAGGTGAACGTGCCTCATTGCTCGGAAGATGCGACCAACGGGAGCGCGACACCTGGCACGGGATTCGTGCATCCGGGCTGGAAGGTGTCGCTGCGAGTGCCACGTCATCTGAAGACGCTCAGGCACCAGGATTGGGTAGGTAACAGGGGGCGTAAGTTAAAACCTGGTACGATGCGAGTTGAGACTTTTAAGCAGCCTAGAGATTCGATTGATGCTCAAACATTTTGAGGCGCCTCAAAAGGGGCTGCATTTAAATGCTTCGAGCCCTCAAAACAGTGGTAGATTTCGCGTATAATTAGTCGAGTTTTGAGTCGACTCAAAACTCGACTCATTAAATGCTTCGAGCCCTCTAAACAGTGGTAGATTTCGCTAATCACGTGCTCACCATCCTATGCTCACCATCCTATGCTCACCATCCTATGCTCACCATCCTATGCTTACCATCCTATGCTCGCCCACAACCTCGTAGCCCCTTTTCTTTTGAAATCTTCTCCTCCACCTCTCGCACTCTCCTCCCGCCCTCCCCGTCCCCTGTGCTTCTCCCCCCAGACACCCCCCGAGGCATGTTCCACCTTCCGCCTCTTCCAGTCATGCCTGGGAGCTCTACATCCCTCGCCACGTGTCAGCAAATTATTGGATGGAGAACTGGGGGAGGAGCAGGAGGATGAGGCCGAAGGAGCAGGAAGCACAGTGTCACTTTTCTCCAGGCTTAAATCGAGTAGAGCAGTGTACCTTGAGGTGAGCGAGGGACCAAGATATGTCGGTGGTGCTCTCTTCTAGATTCACGTTCTAAGCATTTAACAATGCATGGTGCTTTGCTAAAAAAATTGCCTGTGTTTTTGTGCTTATTGACAGGCCAATCAGGTGATGCCGAGTGGCACGTGCGGGGGGTGCCCCGAGGACCCTCTACTCAACTGCACGCTTCGCACGCTGACGTGGCGCTACCTGCGCGTGCCGTCCAACTCGTCTGACGTGGACTTCACTGTAGCAGCTGCCTCTGCTACAGACGCTGCTACAGTCGCGGGCACCTTCCATCCCCTGCGCGCCCCCCTCCTCCTCCCCCACACCCGCAAGCGCATCAGCCTGGGCTGCCCTGCCTCTCCCCCTCTTTCCGCCTCCCTTTCTTCTGCTCCCTCTCCTCCTCCACTCTCTACCTCCTCTCGACGATCCAGCAAGAACAGCGAGCAGCATAGCGAGGGCGAGGAGGAGAGCGAGCGAGAGGAGCAGCTGGAAAGCGAGGTGCAGAGGGAGGGCGAGGTGCAGAGTGAGGGGGAAGAGGGAACTGGGAGCGGGGAGCAGAATGAGGGCGAGGTCGGAAGGGAGAGCGAGCAGCAGAGCGCGGGCGGGCAGACGAGTGAGGGCGAAGGGGGTCCAGCAAAGGCAGTGCGGCGAAGATGGGTGCTGGAGGAGGGAGGAGATGCAGAGGATGCAGGGAGTGAGGGGAGTGAGGGGAGTGAGGGGAGTGAGGAGGCAGAAGACTTGCAGGGGGAGGAAAGGGAAGAGGAAACGGGGGCGGAAGAGCAGGCGGGAGGAGATGAGAGGGCTGGGCAAGTCACGATGAAAGAAATGGGCGACAGTGATAGCAGCAGTGGCGGCACCCATACTAGCAGCCGCAGCAGACGCGGAAGAAAAGGCAGGAGCAGCACAAGCGCGAGCAGCAGTGGTACTGGCAGTACCACCACGACTGGCACCTCCGGCAGTGGGACTGGCAGCACGAGCAGCGCTGCTGCTGCTGACCTGACGGAGTGTCAGCAGCTGCAACTGGCGGAGCTGCTGGTGCTGTCGTCTGCTCGAGGGCTGCTCCACACGCGCCCCTCTGTGGAGGCACTCTTCATTGCCGCCCAGGCCAGGGCGCGGATCAACCAGAAGGCACTCCCTGCTGCTGCTGCTCCTGCCACTGATGCTACTGCTGCCGCTGATGCTGCTGTGGCTTCTGGAGGTTCGTTGGGGGAAGCTGGTTTCTCCACTGCAGCCTTGTCTGCATCATCCTCGTTTGTGGTGGATCCGTCAGTGTGTGAAGCCCCTGAGCTGGCGCCCTTCAAGAACATGTGGTTCCTCCGACAGTACCTTGTGGATGGTGAGTGCTTTCTGTGCCCATAATTTGGGTCCAGTGATCCGTCTGACTCCTCACCTGTCCCTGCTGATTACCATAATGGCAGTACCTTGTGGATGGTGAGTGCTTTCGTGGATGGTGGTACCTTGCGCACAATTTGGGTCCAGTGACCCATCTAAACCCTCACCTATCCCTGCTGATCACCATAATGGGCGTTCTGTGGAGAATGATGTTGGCACTTTCGGACCCTTTACCCGCTCCCTATCCACTCCCCCAACTCCCCATCTGACGTTCTCATTCCCCTTCCTTGCCACCTCGGTTCTCCCACTCCCATCCTCCCCATCCCCATATTGCAGAGGAGCTAAAGACGATCTACCGCTTTGTGCCCAAGGCAGCCTGCACGAGCTGGAAGGTGTGGTTCCGCCAGCAGCACAACCTGCCCATTATCTCCATCCTCTACCCTCCTCCCCCTCTCTATCCTCTCTCTCCCTCTCCTGTATGTCCCCCTTCCCTCTCCCATGTTATCCCCCTTCCCACCCTTCCATGTTCAGAGGAGCTAAAGACCATATACTGCTTCGTGCCCAAGGCAGCGTGCACGAGCTGGAAGGTGTGGTTCCGCCAGCAGCACAACCTGCCCAACATCTCCGACGTCTACCTCGCCCACGACCCCAAGCACTCAGGCCTGCACGTGCTCGCGTCCGGATACACCGAATCTGCCGTCATGGCGCTCCTCACCCGCCCAGACTTCTTCAAATTCACGTTCGTGCGCCACCCGTTTGCGCGCCTGGCGTCCGCTTACCTCAACAAGCATGTGAACGGGGGGCCGCCGCAGGGGCGGGCGTTTTGGAACAAGAGGTTCTTCCATGGCACGCGGCCGTTCCGGTGGTTGGTGGAGCATCAAGGGGGATCGGATTTGCTGCAGTTTGGCGACTTTGTGGGGCTGCTGCGGACCATGTTCAAGAGGAGACGCCGCACCATGGACCCCCATGTTGCCCCTCAGGTAGGTCGCTATTCCTCGTATATATAGCCCTGCCTTTATTGACCATGTTTCAGAGGAACTAAAAAATTCCTTGCCTCTTTGCCACATCCTTCTCCCCTTCCCTCCCCACCCACCCGAACCCCCGTGAAACCTATTGTGTTTTCAGGTGGACGTCTGTCGGTTGAACGACATTCGGTTTGACTTTGTGGGTCATTTTGAGAACCTGGCGGAGGATGTGCCCGTGGTGATGCAGCGCCTGAATCGCACTATCACGTCTGAAGCGTTCTCCATTGGGAAATCAGCGCACCCCACTAACGCTCGCGACAAATTCCTTGATCTATTCGACAAGGTCAGTTCATGTCAATGTATCTCGTTACATGGTCCCATTTCACCTGTATACACCATTCTCATGTCGTAATCTCTCCCTGTTTGCTTGGTGGTTTTGCAGAACGCGTATGACGAAGCAACTGAGTTCCTCTCCATAGACATGAACGTGTCGCTGAACAACATATCGTTTTCACCTCCCCCAAGATTACTTGAGCTCTTTGGGGAAGTAAATAAGGCACGTGCTGGTCGCAATAAGCGGCGTAGTTAAGGCATAGAACGCAAAATAAAAACAGGGAAATTAAGATTCTTAGGGCTTTTGGTTAGGCACATACTGTATGATAGTTTAAATTGGTGGCACATATAAGATGCCATGCACCGAACAGAGTGTAGGTTGAAGGTGCTGTTTACCGAAATTGTCAATACGTCATGCTGGCTCATATCCCTGGGAACACTGAGCGTGAAATATTCAGGGAAGTGGAACGAAGCTTGCGCTACTGCGAGGATCGCCGCGGGCAAATAGAATTTTGACGAACACGGTAACCGTCTAGCGAAATCAGAACTGCGTCTCCACACCCACCACAGTCCAAACCACGTCCTCAGGAGTACCGAGTCGAGCCCATCAGAGTTGTAAAGCATCCCAAAATAAGAACCACAGAAAGTATCGCACTTCCCCAACTTTCTCCCACTTTCTCCCATATCGAATCCAGCAAATTTTCCCCAGCGCGCAATGTCTGCAGAAGGATCCGAGGCGGCGGCAGCCGCGCAGGCCGCACCAGAATCCTCCTCCACTCCCGCTCCCGCTGCTGACGTGGATCAGCTTGCAGGATCGTTCAATGGGTGCGATTAGATTCCCTTATTCCCTCACCCTGCTCACCCTTTCCCTGCTGGTCCATTCCCGAGGCCACTCGCTTTCGGCCAGTGCTATGCGTCTGGCCCGCAGAGCCATCGCCTTCATGTCGTCGCTCCGACTAAGAAAGAGTTTCTTTCGGTTGGTGCGATGCAGGACGGACGGCGTAGCAGGGGTTCAGGGTTGCGCAGTCTCGCTCTCCCTCTAGCTCTCCGCGTCGCTCCCCCCCTCAACCCCCCGCTCTCCCCCTCGCTCTCACTCTCTCTCAGTCAGCTTCTCTTTGTGATCACTTCCACTGAGCGAGCTCGATTCCCGCCTTTCGCCGTCCACGTGGCAGGATGACATTGGACGAGCGGTACGCGCTGGTGCGGAGCGTGGGGGAGGAGTGCATTCAGGAGGACGAGCTGCGCAACCTGCTGCTCAAGAAGAAAGACCCCGTCGCCTACGACGGCTTCGAGCCTTCCGGTCGCATGCACATCGCACAGGTAGGTCGCACACGTCGCATGTCGCACAGGCGTGGGGGAGGAGTGCATTCAGGAGGACGAGCTGCGCAACCTGCTGCTCAAGAAGAAAGACCCCGTCGCCTACGACGGCTTCGAGCCTTCCGGTCGCATGCACATCGCACAGGTAGGTCGCACACGTCGCACAAGTGAGTCGCATGTCGCACAGGCGTGGGGGAGGAGTGCATTCAGGAGGACGAGCTGCGCAACCTGCTGCTCAAGAAGAAAGACCCCGTCGCCTACGACGGCTTCGAGCCTTCCGGTCGCATGCACATCGCACAGGTAGGTCGCACACGTCGCACAAGTGAGTCACCCGTCCCCGCATCCCCAACTCCACCACTTCCCCCAACTTCACCGTCTCTTCTCCTCCTTTCCCCACCAACCCCCCACCTTCCCCCAGGGAGTGATGAAGGCCCTCAACGTGAACGAGCTGAACCAATCAGGATGCACTTTCAAGTTCTGGGGACTGGTTCGCCACATTACCTTCCCTCACCTCACTCCACCACTCTCGACCCCCCTTCCCCCTCCATCACCCAGGGAGTGATGAAGGCGCTGAACGTGAACAAGCTGACCCAATCAGGGTGCATCTTCAAGTTCTGGGTGGCGGACTGGTTCGCGCAGCTCAACAACAAGATGGGCGGCGATCTCAAGAAGATCCAGACCGTTGGTCGGTACATGATGGAGGTGTGGCGCGCAGTGGGCATGGACCTCACGCGAGTGGAGTTCCTGTGGTCGTCCGAGGAGATCAATGGGCGCGCAGGGGAGTACTGGCCTCTGGTCATGGATATCGCCAGGAAGAACAAGCTGCCCCGGATCCTCAGGTATGGACTGACCTGCCTCAGCGCAGTGGGCATGGACCTCTCGCGAGTGGAGTTCCTGTGGTCGTCGGAGGAGATCAACAGGCGTGCGGGGGAGTACTGGCCGCTTGTCATGGACATTGCCAGGAAGAACAAGCTCCCCCGGATCCTCAGGTACGGTCAGTATGGAATGGATTGACCTTCCATGAGCCTTGCTCTTCCTCAGAGCAGTGGGTAAAGACCTCTAGCGTATGGAGTTCCTGTGGTCGTCTGAGGAGATCAGCGGGCGTGCCGGGGAGTACTGGCCGCTTGTCATGGATATCGCGAGAAAGAACAAGCAGCCAAGAATTCTCAGGTGGGGAAGCATAGGAAATAGGCCTAGGAACGGGGGAAGACAGGGGGGGGTGGGCGTGCTTTCCTCCAAACCGTTTCTTCCCTTCGCCTGATTTCGCCTTGATTCCCCACCTCTAACCCTTTCTGCTGCACTCCCTCCTTGGATGGAGGCCCTCAGGTGTTCGCAGATCATGGGGCGCAGTGAGACGGACGAGCTGTCGGCCGCACAGATCTTCTATCCCTGCATGCAGTGTGCCGACATCTTCTTCCTCAAGGTATCCTCTCTTCACACACACACACACACACACACACACACACACACACACACACACACACACACACACACACACACACACACACACACACACACACACACACACACACACACACACACACACACACACACACACACACACACACACACACACACACACACACACACACACACACACACACACACACACACACACACACACACACACACACACACACACACACACACACCCACACACACACACACACACACACACACACACACACACACACACACACACACACACACACACACACACACACACACACACACACACACACACACACACACACACACACCACACACACACACACACACACACCCACACACACACACACACACACACACACACACACACACACACACACACACACACACACACACACACACACACACACACACACACACACACACACACACACACACACACACACACACACACACACCCACACACACACACACACACACACACACACACACACACACACACACACCACACACACACGCACACACACCAACCACACACACACACACAACACACACACACACACACACACACACACACACACACACACACACACACACACACCACACACACACACACACACACACACACACACACACACACACACACACACACACACACACACACACACACACACACACACACACACACACACACACACACACACACACACACACACACACACACACACACACACACACACACACACACACACACACACACACACACACACACACACACACACACACACACACACACACACACACACACACACACACACACACACACACACACACACACACACACACACACACACAACACACACACACACACACACACACACACACACACACACACACACACACACACACACACACACACACACACACACAGAGAACCATGCGCTTCCTTGTTATGAGCCTTTGTTGTGCACTTTGCCGAGGCACACAAGCGAAAGGCGTCTGCATAACCCATCCGTGGGTCATCTTGCCTCACCCTTTCCATATGCAAATGGCAGGCGGACATCTGTCAGCTGGGCATGGATCAGCGCAAGGTGAATGTGTTGGCGAGGGAGTATTGCGACGACATCAAGAGGAAGATGAAGCCCATCATCCTCTCCCACCGTAAGCTTATTTTCGGTTCAGTGCTGCACAGCTGGCTGTAGAGGCATTGTGCTCTTTATATCTCATCATGATACACTCTCAGTTCGTTTTGCTTATTCGTTTGCTGATGCTTTGCCCCTGTGGCTCCTTTGCGCATTCAATGTCTGCGGTTCGGTGTGCATGCAGACATGCTGCCGGGGTTGTTGCAAGGGCAGGAGAAGATGTCAAAGAGTGACCCCAACTCTGCAATCTTTATGGAGGACGAGGAGGTAAGACGTTTTGGATGCAGCGGGTGGGGGGACTAAGCTGAAATCTTGGTCAGGGGGAAAATGTCACCCAAGGCACGGCGTCACCACCCCAAAAGTGCCTTCTGAAGCTTGAGCACTTGGTTGTTGATGTATCTAGTTGCTGGTGTATCTGGTAATTCGCTCCACTTTTCACCATGCACTGTTTCTGGCAGGCGGAAGTGAATGTGAAGATCAAGAAGGCGTTCTGCCCGCCAGGGGAGGTGGAGGGCAACCCGTGCATTGCCTACGTGCAGTACATTGTGCTGCCGTGGTTCAAGCAGTTTGAGGTGGAGCGTAAGGAGGAGCACGGAGGCAACGTGTGAGTAAATTGGGAATGCTAACTCTCAAGCTGTCACTCACTCACCGTTGTGCCTGCTGATGGCTGGTCCTTGCACTTATTTGAAATCTCCATTGTGTGACCCAATGGTTCTGGGACTCCCTTGGCATAATCTCCCCATACTGCTTTTCCTTCCCTGTTCTTTTCCCATTTTCCCTGTTCAGCATTTACACCGATGCTGATCAGCTCTGTGCAGACTACAAGGATGGTAAACTCCATCCAGGTGACCTCAAGCTGGCGCTTTCCAAAGCAATCAACAAGATTCTCCAGGTGAGTCCATGGACCACTTAGTGCTTCCCTGTCATTACACTTGTACTATTATGCTCTTTTTCCTGACCTCGAGCATTGCTGTGCAGCCTGTACGAGACCACTTCAAGACAAACCCTGACGCAAAGAAACTGCTGGCACAAGTGAAGGTAAGTGACGAGTTTTCATGGCTATCAGGAGTTCTGCTGTACATAAACTCGCTGATTCCTTTCCTCGTTGCCTTTTTGTTATGCAGAGCTACAAGGTTACAAGGTAGCAGCAGTGAAGCTGCTGGTAGTGTCTCTCCATGTAACTTACCGTATTCTCCCGGATAAAACACCCCCCCGTAATTGTACACCCCCGGGTAGCTAATACAGGGTGGGTGTTATAATTGACCTCGTTTGTATTATACCCCCCCTTTTGGGGTGATTTTCTATAACACCCCCCTTTTCTTATAGATTCCTATTATAGCTGTTATCGAGTCCGATTCCTTGCAGGAGGATATCGCGAGAATCGCTCCCTAGAAGAAATTTCGCATGTACTTTCACTTAGAATCTGCCGAGATTTCCCCCCCCCCCCCTCCCACAATCTCGCTGTCGCCACGCTGTCGAATCTTCCACTGCAAGTGGTCCAAGAGGTGGAGTGGCCCTAGTGGCCCACAATATCCTCGTACTTGGTTTTGCGGCATTGATCAATAATCTTGAAGTGAAGTCAGACCCCTGATTTTGTTTCACATCTTTTCTGCTTGATAAAAAATATACCATATAATACGACCTGGGTATTATGTAGGATTTTCCTTTGAGGAGACCCCCCCCCATTTATTTCCAGTGGTTTTCGTAATAATTTAGAGTGTTTTATCCGGGAGAATACGGTAGCCATGAATGTGAGGCAGGTGTCATGCTGATGCTGGAATGACTACACTGCTCATGCATTCAGAACTACTGTTTTGTAGTGAGTGTCATGGTAGCACCAAGCCTTTCAGAATCACGAAGGCAACCTGAATAAGAAACGAAGATGACTAAAAAATAGTATGTCACAGTGAAACTGTTGGAACAATGACTGCTGAAAAAACTACTTTGCAGCTGCCTTGGACTTTGATGACTTGGAAGATGTGGTTGTAGCAGCAGCGGGAGCATCAGCGGTAGTGGCAGCAGCCGCAAAGGATGGAGGAGGATTGTGCTTCAGCTTCAGCAATACCTGAAATAAACCAGATTTGACAAATTTATGCATGGAATTGTGCTGAAAACATGTCAGACACACAGGAAGATGCTACAGTTTGGCTTACCTGGCGCATGCGGGCTAGATCGGTATGCTTGCCCGGTTTAGCATCGTTAAGCTGAGTTGACATGCGAGTCGGCTCATCCTTCTTCTTCGCCTTCTCTTTCTTAATGGATACGTCAAAGTTTGTAAACGCACACACACTCTCCCAGTAGTTCCCACCCTGCTTAGAGTTGAGGCTCAAGAGGTTGTCCACGTATGCCTTCTCCTTCTCCCTGAGAACGGGAAATGATAGATCTTATCAGAACTGAAACAGCTCATTCTGTACCTGACCAGAACAACAACACCCACGAACCTGTTGTTCGTCTTGGCCTGTGTGACTTGCATCTCACGCTTCTTGTAAAATGCTTCAAGCTCGGCTTTCGAGTCCTCCAGCACCTGAACAGTCAGGGTAAGGTCCAAGACTATGAAATCGACACCCATACTTGATAATATTCGTGACATGTTCATTCCCGGACCCCATCAGATGAATTTAGATCAACATGAATAATCGTAGTCTTTTCGAAATAACCAAGTTGATTCGTTACCACAAATAGCTCACCTGTTGATGCTTCTCTCTTGAAATACGAGCCTTCTCCTCAAGCTCGATGGCCTTCTTCCTCCTCCATTCCCTGATGGCGAAAATAGAGGGTAAAAATGAGACCACAAATGTCTTGCTGCTCGACGATGAACAATAGGCTATATCATCTTCGCCTATCTGACCTAATCGTCACCTTAGCAAAATCGACTCCTCGGACCCCATCTGTGAGGGAGGCGGAAGCTTCGCTCCGCCATCAAAGGTGCCGTTTTCCTCCGCAGGGGGAGCATATTCGCCAGCAGCTGCTTCTTGCTCTTCTCCTACACCATTGTACGACTGGAAATCAGAGGCAGGTGCATTCTGCTGCTCAAAGTCGAACCCCTCCATATTGTAACTTCGGCAGGACTGTACAAAATTTAACAATAATCCGGCAACAAAAAGCTACGATCGACAGCTGATTTACAAGGCTAGGAGGAGTATCAAGGGTGTGGGGATCCAAATCTCGAGCTAGGATGGATGGGAAGGGTGGGTTCGGTGTCACAGCGGGATCTGGCACTCAATCTTGAACTTGGTTCCACAGAAAAGATTGGTATTGTCAGTGGAGTGGAACAACTTCCAACCTGGGAAATTGCACAAGACGCACGAAAACCATCAAGCGAGATCTCTCTGTTCTGGGTAACCACGATTGTTCCTTCTCGCAACGGCAGTTTTCCTCTGGTGAGCAGTCGCCTCACAACGGCTAAAAGCGGAATCAGGGCATATCAAGTGCCCTCGGAATCCAAAACAGAAGTACAAACTGTATTTTTTGATGATTATATGATGTGCAAAGAATTCACAAACAAAAAATAATGTTTATTGGTTAGTACTGTTGAGGCCTAGAATATTAGCAAAATTGTTGATTGTATTTCAGTTAGAAGTTTGCTCAAAAACATCTTTCAAATCTTCTGGAGGCTCGTAATGTATACCATTAAGAGGGATGCTGAAGTCTGACGCATATAGCCCCTTCACCATCTCGTATATTTCCTGAGCACAGGAGCAACCAAGGAAAACATGGAGAGCAAATGTGCAACATTTGAAAAGTTCACATGCCATGTATTGGTGCATATCAACAGGTCAACAACAGGTCCCAGCATTTCAGATTATAGGATCAATCACATTACCTTGGTGTACATTCCCCGCAGGTGTGCATCAGCATCGGTGCGATGCGCCTCCTTGCCAACCCCGAAGGCTTTCAAGGGTGAAGTGCCAAGGTGGTTCATCACATACTCCACGCCCTCCTCCAGCTGCTCGAATCTCCCCACAAAGTCATACTTGACGCTCTCGAGGTCACACACATCCGCCTGGTAGCAACAGCAAGGGGATGGAAATTGGAAATGACTTTTGAGGCGCATCAGAAGTTTCTTCCGGCTGCTCGAATCGCTCCACATAGTCGCACTTGATGCTCTCAAGGTCACTCACGTCCACCTGGTAGCAGAAAGGGGATGGAATCGGTTGGATTGTGCACCCACTTGTGGAGCTGTGAGGAGATAAAACAAGAAACGGTAATTCCAAAAAGTCTCTAAGAACACCGACCTGGAGTGCAAAGCGGGGTTCCATGCCAAATTGGTGCTTGCTCTCTGACAGTGGCAAGGGCAGCTTTTAAGACGTCTCAAAAGCCATTTCAAAAGTGTACAAGAAAGCACCGACCTGGGGTGCAATGTGCGGCTCCATGTCGGCACGGTGCTTGCTGACAGTGGCGAGGGCGAGCGTGATGAAGGTGGCGAAGGTCATGTTGTAGTCCGCACCCTCTGGCGCTATCTGCAGCAGCCTGGCGCCCTTCCACGCGAAGAATCTCTGCTCTCACGTAATCAGGTGGGGGGAAGGGGGGCGACAGGAGGGAAGGAGGTCATGTTGTACTCTCTGTGCCCGCACGCGCTCTCTGCTGCAGCCTGGCCCCTTTCCATGCGGATATTCTCTACACTCAACGTGCTTGTGAGGGAGTGCGTGTGAGTGCAGGTGCGTTTGTGCGGTGCGGTGCACACCTTGTTCCACTCCAGGCGATCCTTAGGATCGGCCCAGGCGACGTGCTTGTTGAGGTAAGCAGAGGCGACACGGGAGAAGGGGTTGCGCACGAATGTGAAGCGGAACATGTCTGGGCGGGTCAGCACACGGATGGCCTCGCTCTCTGTGAATGCGTGCCTGCACAACACAGAGCAAGGAGGGGATGGGGAAGGCGAGGGGGACCAAGAACCCAAGTCAAACGAAGCACGAAGGTGCAGTGGAAGAGGCCTGGGCGAGTGAGCACTCGGATAGCCTCACCCTCTGTGAATGCGTGCCTGCAAGAGTGGGGGGGAGTGGGGAGGGTATATGGAAGGGTAGAGGAAAGGGGAACTGAAGCCACTGGCGTCAGCATCATGCACCACTGATAAAAATGACCTGAAACTGGTGACGACTCACTATAGCTGTTCCAGGCCACTGGTGTCAGCAGCATGCACATGCCACACACACATCATCAGGGGTGCTGCGACTTTTTGAGGCGCCTCGAAACTCACCATCACGTTTTATGATCTTCCACAGCGCATCAGATCGTAACGCACCATAGCTGGCCTCAACTCACCACAGCTGATCGAGGCCACTGGTGTCAGCATCGTGCACATGCTCTATGTCATCAGGGATGGTGTGGCCGCGCTGCTGCTGGAACCACAGCTTCCAGCTCGTACATGCCACCTTGGGGATGTAGCAGTACATGGCCTTCAGGCGCTCTGAGGAAACGCCGAGGGAGAGAGGAACGAGAGGAAAGGGGGGGAATATGGGGGAGATAACAAGGGAAGGGGATGTGGGGGAGATAACAAGGGAAGGGGATGTGGGGGAGATAACAAGGGAAGGGGATGTGGGGAGATAACAAGGGAAGGGGATGTGGGGGAGATAACAAGGGAAGGGGATGTGGGGAGATAACAAGGGAAGGGGATGTGGGGGAGATAACAAGGGAAGGGGATGTGGGGGAGATAACAAGGGAAGGGGATGTGGGGGAGATAACAAGGGAAGGGGATGTGGGGGAGATAACAAGGGAAGGGGATGTGGGGGAGATAACAAGGGAAGGGGATGTGGGGGAGATAACAAGGGAAGGGGATGTGGGGGAGATAACAAGGGAAGGGGATGTGGGGGAGATAACAAGGGAAGGGGATGTGGGGGAGATAACAAGGGAAGGGGATGTGGGGGACATAACAAGGGAAGGGGATGTGGGGGACATAACAAGGGAAGGGGATGTGGGGGAGATAACAAGGGAAGGGGATGTGGGGGAGATAACAAGGGAAGGGGATGTGGGGGACATAACAAGGGAAGGGGATGTGGGGGAGATAACAAGGGAGCAAGAGGGAACCTGGAGGGTGTAGCAGAAGGTAGACACTTGATATTCCAGGATTACTGAGGCGTGTCTGGTAGCGAGGCAAACTAGAAGCATGGGAGCAGCAGAGGAGCAGGCGAAGGGCAGAGGGTCTCACCATCCACGATCATGTGGCGAGCTGCACGGCTCTTGATGATAGGCAGCACAGGGGGCGCTTGACACACACTCAGCTCATCACCCGTCCCTCCACCAGCAGCAGCACTAGCGTCAGCAGCAGCGCTGGTGGCACTTGTATCATCCACGCTCCCGCCCTCCCCATTTGTGGTGGTGGTGGAGGTGGTGGAGGAGGAGGTGGAAGCGTGGTGCAGGCGGAAGGCCATCTGGGCGCGGATGAAGTCGGCCGCTGTGCTGCGGTACAGACTGAACATGGCCTGCGCCCGTGACAGCCAATACAGCTCCGCCAGCTGGAGGTATGGGAAGAGACGGAGAAGAGGGGAGGCGGGGAGGGACGGATGAGGAGTGGTGGTTGCTCATTCCTATACTTGGTCAGATGTCAACTCGTCACTGTCACACATCACATGCCAAATCAAAGCATGCACAGCCCCACATGCCAAATCAAAGCATGCACAGCCCCACATGCCAAATCAAAGCATGCACAGCCCCACATGCCAAATCAAAGCATGCACAGCCCCACATGCTTTATGCCCCCATGCCCTGCATGCCTACCCTTAGTCGAGCACACAGCCGGTCATGCCCCCCCAAGGCCCCACACCATGCCCTGCATGCCTACCCTGAGGCGAGCACACAGCCGGTCATCTCTCCGCTTGGACGCCCCGGCCTTCCGAGCCGCCTCTTCCTCCTGCAACTCCGCCAGCTGTTGCCACGTCAGCGCCAAGTCAGCACCCAAAAGCCTTCGCCTGTTCAACGCCCCACTGCCAGAGCCACCAAGAGCGGCCCCTGACCCGTTCCCCCCACGGACGCCTCTCCTCCGCTGCCGCTCCCGTGCCAGCTGCTTCAGTCGCTGCTTCATCGCCCAGTACTGCCCCTTCTGCCCGTTTCCTCCCTCCCCGCCCCCTCCCTCCCCTCCCCCACCCTGCGCAAAACCTCCCTGCACGGCACTGCCAGAGCCCCCAAGAGCGCCCCCTGAACTATCCCCCTCAAGGGCTTTCTGCCTCTCCTGCGCCAGCTGCTTCAGCCGCTGCTTCATTGCCCAGTACTGGCCCTTCTGCCCGCCCCCGCCTTGCCCGTCCCTTCCCTGCCCGCCCCCTCCCTGTGCACCCGCCCCCTGCCCGCCCGCTCCCTGCCAGCCTCCGCCAGTGCCCTGTGTACCCGTGCCCACTGCACTGACCACTCTGAGGTCTAGAGCCACGCCCTGTCCTGCTGCTCTCGGTGGGTCAACAAACCGCACCTGCTGCTGCTGGGGCAGCTGTGGTAGCGGGTCTTGCTGCTGCCCTCCCTGTCCTTCCTGTCCTCCTTGTGCGCCCTGTGCGCCCTGTGCACCCTGTGCGCCCTGTGCGCCCTCCCTGTCTCCTCCCTGCGTTCCTCCTCTTCCTGCCCCCTGCGTTCGCCATCCCACCCGCCTGTACTTGATCCCTCGCATCCCCATCTGCTCCTCAGACCTTAACGATCCCCGCTCGGGGCGCAGGGCAAGAGGGGGTGGTGACGGGCATGCCACCTGGCGCCGACGTGTCAGCCTGAGGAGGTACGGCCGGCGGAGCGGATGGAAGGCTGAGATGAGCGTCTGAGCATCCGACGGCCAGTATGCGCCGACTAGGAAGTCAGGCAGCAAGCGGGAGGAGTCGGAGGAGGAAGAAGACGAGGAGGAGGAGTATGAGGAGGAGTCAGAGGAAGGAGAAGGGGCGTGTGTGCGCATGTAGTGGTATGCGATGCGGCGCATGGTGCAGTTGAGGAGGTCAGCAGGCGGGCAGCCAGCACAGGGCAGCGCACGGGCCTGGGGGAGCGTCCACGGGGGGGTGGGCTGGAGTGGGGAGAGGATGGGCCGCAGGAAGGGGGAGGGAAACGGGTCAGACGTGAACGGGGAGGCAACCAGCACGGAACAAGGTACGCAACCAGCTTGCATTGTCGCTCCCCTCCTTTCCACTCATGCAACACACTCACCTCCAGATACACTGCTGTGCTCCGAGCAACAATCTCTCCAATGCTGCTGCCATCCCGCCTCTCCCCCACTCCTCGCGCTCGTGAACCCTCCTCCTCCTCCCTCCCCTCACTTCCATTCTCCCCATCACCCGCCCCTCCCCTCTTCTCCCTCTCCTCCTCGCCTTCTCCACCCTCCTGCTCCTCCTCCTGGCGAATTAGAGAGAGGACGGCATCGGACGGCTGTAGCTTCCCCAGGCACACCCGCACCTCCTCCTCGTACCGGCACGCCACGCGCCGGTCGGCAAAGTCCGGCAGCACTAGACCCCGCACAGTGTACAGGTGCAGCCGTCCCGTCCAGTGCCCGTACCGGTCTGCACCGCTCTCCACCCTCGTGCCGTTGCTGCTGGCGGAACCCTGGGAATCCCACCCTTGGGAATTCATTTCCTGGGAAATCCCCTCCTGCTGGGGAGACCAGCCAGTGGCTTGGCGCATGCGGGAGACCTCCTGGGCGTAGCGGCGCACGTCTGGTGCCACCCTCAGCAGCTCTGCTCCTGATGCCACCCTGCCGGCTGACGGCTCAGGGCAGCGGATGAAGGATATCTGAGGGAGGGAATAGGGAGAAGCAGAAGTGGGACGCATGTGAGGATGGCATGGTGGAGCCTCAGAAGCCGTCTTGTTGACAGTTCAGGGCAGCGCATGAAGGGAATCTGGGCAGGAGAGTGTTACCACGGGCGGCTAAAAAAGCTGCCTCAATGAGGCTCCAGGCACAGCCATCGAGGTGCAGGCAGTGAGAGCACAGACGCTGACTCACCTCTCTACGCATGAGCTTCTCCCCTGCCACCACATGGCGCAGCAGGAACTCAGTGGCGTTCTCCTGCACGTCCACAGGCATGCGCGCATCAAACAGGTCGCCAAACCGCACCATCCCCACCTCCCCCGCCATGCTCCCCTCCACCCCCCCACTCCCGGCCTCTCCCCCCTGTCTCTCCCCCTCCGCTGCCCCCACTCCCTCCCCTCTCCTCCTCCTCATCCTCCTCCGCCTGGCCTCTCTCAGCCTCCTCAGCTCCTCTTCTCCTGTCATCATCTCCCCTAAGAGCCTCCGCCGCTGCTGCCGCCCTCCCCCAAGCATCCCCCCGGCGTTCCGGCTTTGGGGGAGGCTGTGGGAGCGTTTGGGAAAGAAGCGGGGGCGGGGGCGGAGGGTCCAGAGGGCGCGGAAGCGGGTGTTGGCGAGCACAGTGAGGGCCTCTGTGGCGCAGACAGCCTCCATGCGCTGCTCCAGGCTGCCCCGCGCGACCACCACGCCCTGCCGCGGCCCACATGCTGCCATGGTGCGCTGCTCCCTGCAACGGCGGGATGTGCGCGTGTGGAACATCAGAGAGGCGGGTCGGCGCCACAGCTCGCTGGTGGTCGAGGTGGTGGTGGTGGTGGTGGTGCTGCTGATGCTGCCGTCCCCGCCGCCGCTGCTAGTGCTGTTCGTGTCTGCCGGCTGTTCTTGGATCTGCTCTGAGTTGGCCTGCTGCTCTGGTGCTTCTTGGTGAGCTTCGCTTTGATCTGAGTCTTCCTGAGTGGCGGTACCCAAGGGCTCTGACCCATCTCCTTCCCTTCCCTCACTTTCTCCTGCTGCTGCTTCCTGATGCACCCCCTCTGCTACACCTCCCCCACCTTGTTCCCCTCCCCCACTCTCTCCTCCTGCTCCTGCCTCCTCATGCATCCCCTCTGCTACCGCTCCCGCACCTTCTCCCTGCTCATTGTCGGCTGCCATGCCCCCGCCCGCCCCTCCATTCGCATCTCTGTTTTCCCCGCCATCTCCCACCTGCCCTTCCGCGTCGCCTTCTCTCAACGCTTGCTCCTGCAATCCCTGCCCCTGCAACCCCTGCTCCCGTTCCTGGTTCCGTACTTGACCCCCCAAACCCGTGCCCCCCTCTCTTCCTTCCACATCCGTTCCCAACCAGCCCGTCCCTCCCAACCCTCCCACCTTCTCCCATCCGCCCTGCCCTTGCCCCACGCTCCTACCGCTCCTCTCCCAGCCCACCACTCCCGGCACTGCCTGCTGGCTCTCCCTCCGCACCTTCGCCCCGGCGCTCCTTATCCCCTCCACCAGCGCGCCCTCCCTCGCAGACAGCACATACAAGCCCAGCAGCGCGAAGGCGAGCAGCAGCAGCAGCAGCAGCGGGACGAGAAGCAGCGGGTGGATACGGCAGCAGTGGCGGGAGCGGCGGCGCTTGCGGCTGGGGGAGGAGGATGGGGAGGTGGGAGGAGACTCGCGGTGGCCTGTGAGGAACGAGGTCAGGCTGCTGCGGCGGGCCCTGGGAAAGAACCATTGTAAGCATCCCTTTCGTCTGCTTCCTGTCTCTTTTCCTCCATCTCTCCCCATTCCTGCTGCTACTGTTGCTGCTGCTGGCCCTGTTTCAGACATAAGCTTGGCTGAATCACGCATAGGCGCACAGCCAAGGCCGTCTAGACCAGCACGAGCGGACCCAGGCGTGTCCCTACCACTCTCACTCCCTGTCTCATCCCCATCCACCCCGTAAAACCCACCGCCCACCACCTCATACCGCACTCCCTCCCCTTCCGCCTCATCCACTCCCACAGGGGTCATGCTCCCCCCCATCCACTCCCACACTCCCTCCGCCACAGGCGCCACAGCTTTAACCACTCTGCTCTCCCACAACCCACCAAAAGGCAGCCCTATGCTGAAACGGAACGGAAGAGCAGAGGAACGCGCCCTAGAGGAGTCATCGGGAGTGTCTTGATCCCCTCCTCCTCCACGCTTGCCCTGCTGCTGGCTACTGGTGGCGTCGCTGCTGTCCAAGTCAACGGTCAAAGGAGGGATGGCTCGTCGTCGCATCTGTGTTGCGCCCCCTGTGTCCGCACATGGGACTGCTGCTGTGGCGGGAACTGTTGCTGTGGTGGGTACTGCTGCTGCTGCTGGTGGCACTGCTGCTGCTGCTGCTGCTGGCACTGCTGCTACTGCTGGCAATGCTGCTGCTGGTGGCACTGCTGCTACTCCTGGCACTGCTACTGCTGCTGGCACTGCTGCTGCTGGGACTGCTACTGCTGGTGGCACTGCTGCTGCTGGTGGCACTGCTACTGCTGGTGGCACTGCTGCTGCTGGTGGCACTGCTGCAGCTGTTGAGATGGCTGTTGATGGGGCTGCCAATGAGTCTGCTGCTGCTGCTGATGCAGCTACTGCTGCCTTTTCAGGAGCAACAGCTGCAGCACCTCCTGCTGCTGCTGTCGAAGTCGGCAGTCCGCTTGTTGACGTCGCCATTATTGCAGTAGCTATCGTCGCGTCAGTGCGGATTGGAACACCAGAGGAATCAGCATCAGCAGTTGTGTCGCATTCACTAGGTAGCGCTGCTTCTAACCTGCTGTTTCCGTCATCCACAGTCGCGGAGTTATCGTTCTCCAAAGGTGAACCGGCCGGTCCTGAGCTCTCAGCCAATAGAGTGCTTCCAGATTCCAGCATTACTGGCTCTCCTACTTTAGGCTCTGGACAAGATACTTCAGGCGCTGCTGGTCCTTCCCCCGCTTGCTCCCCTCGACCTGTGTCCACGCCTGGTGGGTCTTCACCGGACTCCTGAGTTGACTCAGGAGTCGATTCTGCTCTCCCAGCATCCTGTTGAGCAGACTCGGAGTTTGACTCTGCTGCTCCGCTCGCTTCTGCGATTGAAAGCTCCTCCGCTGAAGCAGCGTCAGCACTTGCAGTACCAGAATTAGCAGCGGCAGAAGGTGCGCTTGCTGTACCAAAATTTCCGGCATTACCGGCTTCAGCAGTGCTATCGACACCGCCAGAAACAGGAATCTCCTCGGGGTCAGTCGCCATTACTTCACGCGCGCGTTTCACTTCCTACGACAACATCCAGTTCTCTTTGCAGTGCGACGTACAATGCAGCCGTCTGTGCTGAGCGCCTTGATTAGCGACGCTGTGCCAGACACAAACGTACATTTCGTTCACGCTCAACGCAGTGTGGTCCAGAAATACCCCCTTTTTTTTCTCTCTCAATTCTAAATGGTCCAGAAGATTACTCGCATTGTGCTGTGCTTCAAGTCCTGAATGCTGGGCAACAGGTCGTATGGTAAGGCTGTGAATGATCAGGTGAAATGGCGACGATCCCAAGGTAGTTGGGAAGACGAGGTTCAGGCTTTCCGCGTTAAGATAGGAACTCGATTTCTGCAGTGGAACCAGTTTGCAGAAAAAAACATTTCCCGAACGAGTAGCCCTTTTTACAAAATGGTGTTTTGTAGATTCGTTACAAACAGTTCTCCCACTTCCTTTATGCCTCGATCTTGCCTCCCTTAAGAATTGCCAGGAGCGGGAGGGAGATCTGTCAGACCAACATCGACGATCCCAGACCACCAGGACCTCGTACGCTCAAGTCTTACGCTCAAGTCTATAGTTGATCCTCGAATCCGCGATAGCACTGGCAGGCTAACGCAGCAGCGCGCGTCTTTGTTCTGACTGCTCTCGGGGCCGGCCATTCTGCGCATTAGCAATCGCATGAGTTATCACTGGCGTTTTCAAGTGCCGGCCTAGCGTTGCACTGAAAATCTGCAACGTTGCACTTCTTACGGTTAACTGCGAGACGCATCGAGGTCGAAAATCCGTTTATCGAAGATATGATAAGAAATGCATGGTCAATGGAAGCGGCTGCAGTGAGGAGTCATCGGATTCCGTGATCACGAGTCCAGGAACCGTCTTAACCTTTTGAGAAGTCGTATCCTGCGAGGAGCTGTTGAATTCCGTGATTCTTAATCTAGAGCCAACTTAAGTTTTTTGAAACGTCTCAAAAGTTGTCTGCTGTGAGGAGCCATTGTATGACTTCGTGATCACGAGTCCAGGAGACGTCTGAAGTCAAGGAGGTGCCTTGACTGCAGCATCGCCTTAGTGTTTTACAGATCCCGCTCCTTACAAAAGATAGAGGAAAAGAAGGTTTCTGTTGGTCCAGCGGTGTTTCTGCTCGCCACGTTGCTTTGTTCGCTGTGACTGATCGCGCCACCGTCGCATGTGCGATGCTGTCCGACGAAAGTTCCATCGGCGAAGGCGTCGCACGGCTGAATCGATGGCACCTGGGTCCCGGCACATCAAGGTGCGGCCGCTCGTTACAGTCACACGACACCTATCACCTGTTTCACTAGAAACCCGGTTTTCCGTTCTGCAACTTAGCAAACCTGCTCCGTTAGGCCATATTCAGCCTACCTCGCATTCGCGCCTCAATTTCCCTTCTCGCTCAATATTTTTCCCGCAAATCTCCTGCACAGGGTACAGCAGCAGTCGCACGCGCCGTTGCACGCCTTCTACGTCGTCGGGCGGTCACTGCGCGTGCTGTCGGTGTTCGCGGCGTACCGCTTCCTGGTGGAGTCGGACGTGTCCGTGCTGCTCTTCGCCTTCTTCTCGCTCCTCGGCGCCGCCATCCTCTTCTTCCTCCTCCAACGGCCCTGGAAAGGAAAACGCCTCACCAACACCCAGGTAGCGCCGCGTTCACACTCCGGTGATCACAGTTCTGCCTTCCTGACACCCAGGTGACGCCGCGCGGATGCTAAGGCAACGCCGCATCCCTGCCAGGTGATTTCTCCACCAATACTCTGGCAACTCGGCTGGCCAGCGCGTCTGCACGGGCTGTCTGCGTTCTGAGCGTGAATCTTCCCTGTGTAGTCGATACTGTGCTTCTCTTTCTGGGTCGACTCAAAAAGCGGGCGTGCACTGCGCTTCCACCTGCTCACACCAAGGTTAAAAAAAACGTCGTTTTTTTGAAAATTTACCGTAAAAAACGGCCGTAAAAAACGACCGTAAAAAACGGTTAAAAGGGTTCCAGACGGTGGTTTCGTTTGAAGAAAAATCGGCCGATTTTTGGGACCAAATTGATGGCGAAAGGTACCAGGATGAAGAGGACGAACCCCTCCTTGCATGCGTGCGCTTGTGGGCATGATTGAAAATGTATTCGACCTTGCTTTTCCCTTTTTTTGTTGGTGACAACACATCTCTAACAAAAAAACGCCGTTTTTTTTGGAAAATTACCGTAAAAGACGGACTGTAAAATATGGACCGTTTTTTTACGACAACCGTATTTTTTATCCTTGGCTCACACCCATTCTGGTTTGATCCTGCTCCTGTCACTCTTCCTTCTCCTTTCTTTGTCATTCTCCTTGTTGATTCCTTTTCTTCCTTTACCCACTCCCCTCCCCCTCTCCCACCTCCCCCCCCTGTTTCCCCTCTGTCTACTCCCCCGATTCCCCCGATTGTATCACATGATCAGTGGGGCATCTCAGTGATGAATGGAGGCGTGTTGGCGCTCGCTGTTGTCACATGGGCGTACGGTCTGAAGCAGTGCGGCCCTCTAAGGTGAGTGCAGTAAGTTTTTGAAACTGGTACCTGCACTCCTTCCCTAGTAGCATGCACCCTCCTTCTCCTCACGGCCTCCGTCCCTCTCCTTGAACGGTTGCTGATTCCCCATCAGGTCTGTAATGGCGGAGTATTCAGGAGCGGTGGTTGCCACCATATCCACCATAATATTCGGGCGGCGAGGACACCGCGTACTCAAGGTGAGTGCGGTGGGTTGCATGACAAAGGGAGGTACCCAGACATACCTAGGCACACAATTTGGTTAAGTGACTACCAGCGGCAGTTGCCACCATATCCACCATGATAGTCGGGCGGAGGGGCCACCGCGTGCTCAAGGTGAGCCCACCCACTCCGTGCTAAAGCCAGTCATTGACAATGCTGAAGGGCAGCTGTTACATTCGCCACTGCTCTGTGCATGGGTGATTTTTAGGTGATTAAAAGCTTCTACTTTTGTTCCAACCACTGTATTCTGCTTCCTGCTGTCAACCCCTCCTTCCCTTCTCCCTCGCCTCCCCCTTCCCCTCTGCAGCTGTACGGCGCCATTGCCATGCTGGCTGCCTTCTACCTCCTCGCCTCGGGAATCCCGCTGGGTCCCACTCTTCCGCCGGATTTCCCACCTCCTGCCAACCCCGTCCCCTTGGGCCTAGACAGCACCGCCGCCGCCACTGCCGCCGGCACAGGCGCCGACAGCACTGGCAGCAGCACAGGCAGCAGCAGCAAGGGAGGCGCAGCAGGGGCAGTGGGGGTTGGGGCGGCAGGAGGGGAGGGAGGTGCGGGGTTGTTGGCGTGGCAGGTTGCGCGGATGTCTGGGAGTGGGATGGTGGAAGCGGCAGGGGGCAATCCGTTGACGGCCATGCTGCTGCCTGTGGCCGCTGGAGTGCTCTTTGCGCTGAGACGATTGCTTGCCCGGCTGGGAAAGGTACAGACGGAGCACCAATGCCACATCGCGTGTCTTTGCTGCTGATGCATCGCATCGTGTTGCATTGCATTGGAGCACGGGTTTGAGTGGGAGCATGGGGGTGAGTGGGCGCACGGGGGTGAGTGGGAGCACGGGGGTGAGTGGGCGCACGGGGGTGAGTGCGGGGGTGAGTGGTTATTTTTTCACTAACCCACCATGCCCTCCTGCTCTCCCTGCCTGCTTACCCCCTTTCCCATACCCGTGTCTCTTTCTCTCCCTCTCCCATCCACCAGTCGCAGCAAAAGAAGCGGTTGCATGCCGTCACAACAGTGTCCTCTGTATTCTTCCTCCTGCCTATCGCCATCTTCCAGCTCAGCGGGGTGAGTGCCACTGTCACTGTGCCACATGGTGAGGCAGGGTGCATGTGATTGTGGCACTCCGCATCTATTCTCTTCTCTTATTATCGCCAGTTGTCCGCTTGTCCATCCCCTCCTTCCCCTCTCAACCTTACCGCAAACCCAGGAGAAAGCAAAACGCCACTCGTCTCTCCTCGACTCCCCTCCCTCCCTTCTCTCTCCCGCCCCCCCCGTCTTCCTCGCCCCTACCACCTGCCACGGCTGCAGGCCATGGCCGTGCCGTGGTGGCATGTGACAAGACGATTCCCAGGCGCCTCACAAACCCTCCCATCCCCGTGCTCTTTCCCCTCCTGCCACACCCTTTCCCCCCGCCCCACACTTCTCCTCTCGCCCGCGCCACCCGGCAGGGAGCGCAAGCCTTGGACCTGGAGGCGGGGGGGCGCGGCCAACTTTCCAGGGGCTTCAAAACCTTCCCATCTCCTCTCACGCTTCCCCACTTCCTCCATTCTCCTCTCGCCTGCGCCACCCGCCAGGGAGCGCAAGCCTTGGACCTGGAGGCGGGGGGGCGGCCGATGCAGGTGTATGCGCTGGTGATCCTGGCAGGGCTCGTGTTCTCCTTCTATGTGGACACTCTGGCGGAAGACAAGTGAGTGGGAGGGGAAGGGGGAGGGCGAGGGAGGGGGGGAAGAGGGGAGTGGGGGGGGAGGATGGGAGGGGATGGAGTGGGGGAATGGGGAGAAAGGGGTTCGAGGCTCCTGGAAAGTGATCCTGCTGGGGCTCGTGTTCCTTTCTATGTCAGCCGTGTTTCTCCCCTCTCTCCCTTCCTTTGACACTACCCCCATTCCCTCCCTCTTCCCCTCCCTTCCCCCCCTCTCCCTACCCCTTTTCCTCCCCCCATTTGATCCCCCCTTTCCCCCTTTTCCCTTCCCTTGCCCATCTCTTGCAGGCTGCGTATTGGCCCGTCGTCACTGAAGCATCTGCTGGTGACGAGTGTGGCGGTGGTGGCACTGCTACTCATCTATCGAATGCACTTCAGCCCGCTCTCCTTCGTCCTCATCGCCCTCCTCCTTGCTGCTGGTAAGCTTTTGAGTCGACCCAATAGTCACGTCTGCTGGTGACGAGTGTGGCGGTGGTTGCGCTGCTACTCGTGTACCGAATGCACTTCAGCCCCCTCTCCTTCGTCCTCATCGCCCTCCTCCTTGCCGCTGGTACGCCCCCCTGCTGCTCCTTCCTGCATGAACTGCCCAACATCCCTTCCCACCACCACAAATCCCACCGCACCTCACGCTCCCCCACCCAAGCCCCCGCCACACCCTTCGTCCCCCCCCACCTCAGTTATTCTCTCATTCCCTCCATGCGCACTCTCTCCGTCCCTCTGACTCTCTCTATTCCTGCCTCAAGGACTGCACTGGACTTCAGTCCTCCAGTGGTCCATGTCCAGGTCCCTGCAATAAAATGCAGCAATCTCTAGGGCTAACCTTCCTTCACCCGTGCCTCACCCACCCCTGCTCTCCCTCTCTCCCGCCCACCAGGTCTGCACTGGTCTACGGCCATAGAGCGCAGCAAGTCAGCGGGGTCGCTGGCAGAGGATGGGGTGGCAGCCAAGGAGAGGCGCAGAACTGCCGCCCTCGCCATGCTGCAGGTGAGCACACACACATGTGTGCGTCGGGCAAGGAGTGAGTGAAGCAATTCTTCAAGCAAGTAGCACGTGCGCCCGCACTATCCATCATCCTGTTTCGCAGGCAAACAGGTTTGCTGGTGCAAGGTAAACTGGTGGACGGATGAATCAAAAGCATGACGGCTTGGGTTGAATCCCGATGAAACCCGGCTCTTGTTGCAGAGTGTGATCGCACGTGGCTTTCCTTTCTGAAGTGCTTCAGAGGGGCTTGCTGCTTGCAGCCACTCTGGATAGACATGGACACACCGCTCGTCGTATGTCTGGTTCTAAAGGAACCATGGTGTCAGAATTTTTTTTGTGAACGCCCTGGTGGTCCATTCAAAGGGGCCTCTTCCCATATGTTTTGTCTTTCCCCTCTCTATATCTCTTCCTAGCTCTTCGTAGTTGAACCCTTTCTTATTTTTTCACCGACTTAGGCAAAAACAACCTGGCTTGGATGAGTGACTGACGTGTGGTATCCTGCCCTCTCCTGCCATGGTGGGATGTGGTGTGCACACACCCGCAGGGAGCAATGGACCACGTCATGTCCGATTCCAAGTCACGCCGCATTGCGCGTACGTATGGGCTAGGGGCCGCATCATAGTGAACATGGCGATTTGTGTACGTATGGCCACGGGCTACATAGCAAGCAAGTGCAATCGTGCTGGCATGGGGATACGGTTCTGTCTATGCCCGTCTTGCTCAAAGTACAATGGGCACACCTACCTACGGGTTGGTAGCACCACGATGCCTTCTCCACAGCGCATTAGTGTGATTCTTCGTGTTTACACAATCGTCTTTGCGAATCAGACTGAGAGTGCATGCAGCGGTTCACTTTCAATTTTCTAGGGCCACTAAAAAATCGTAAAGATATGCGAATTAAACTGAGAGTGGTGTTTCCCCGATTCGTTCCATCAAATCTGTTCTTTCTTCTTCTCCCACACATGGCCCTCCGTCAGTTCTTCCTCCTCTCTCACCCTTCTTTGTTTTTTTGTTTGTTTGTTTGTTTTTCGACCGTCGTCGTCACCCTTCTATTGACTCCATTTCTCCCTCCCCTGCCATCCCCTCCCATTCCATGTGCCCTGCCTCCTCACCCCCCTTGCCAGTCTTTCTCCTCATCAACGCAGCGTTTATGATCGTTGAGTTCTCGGTCGGTTTCCTTTCCAATAGGTATGCTTGGTCTGACCTAGCTCAGACTAAAATGCTTCTGGTTGAGGTGCTTACTGTTTGAATCAGCTCCAGCTAACCCTTTTACGCTGGCCTGATCACATGAAGCTTGTAGTGCCTACTTATGCAAGCATACATGGGCTACGTTACTTTATCCATGGCTCAACAGCAGTGCGCACTTGCCACTTCCCTTCCCACGACCACTTTTACCAATTCCCCTCCTTTCTCCTTCTCTCCATCTCCGTTCCACTCTGACATCGTCCCATTTGGCCACCAAGTCTCCTTCTTCCGACCTTCTCCCTCATACCACTTGTTCCCCCCTCCACCTTGTTCCCCCCTCCACCTTGTTTCCCCCTCCACCTTGTTCCCCCTCTCCACCCACCACCACCAGTCTGGGTCTCATATCAGACGCGTGTCACATGCTCTTTGACTGTGCTGCGCTCGCCATCGGCCTCTATGCCTCCTACATCTCCCGCCTCGACTCCCCTTCTAAGTTTGCCTATGGGTCAGTGAAACCCTTGCTAGGGCAGTTGAACTATTTGGGAAAAGTGCGTTGTGTGTGCTGTCGTATGGTATGGCATGGCATGGCATGGCTCACTGATTTAGACCTCACTCTCACTGCGCTGCGCTCGCCATCGGCCTCTATGCCTCCTACATCTCCCGCCTCGACGCCCCCTCCAAATTCGCCTACGGGTTCGTGAATCTCTTTTCAGGAATTTGAGACAGGTCCGTGTTCACTTGTTAGGTTTCAGTTCAGGTGACCTGTTCAGGTGAAGTGCATTGCTTGATGGCATGGCAGGCACTCTTGCTGTGATCTCGAAATTGCTTCTTGGCATGGTCCGAGTCTTAATGGCTTTGTTCAGTGTCTGTGCTGCATGCTGCACTGCATGGGTGCGTGTCCCATCTTCTCTGTTAATCATGACTTGTGTCATCCAGGTGACTTTTGAGTCGACTCAAAAGTCTCCCTTGCGTGTCCCATCTTCTCTGTTAATCATGGCTTGTGTCATCCCATCCCATCGCTCCCACACTATCTGCTCGGCTTCTCGCCCGCAGCTACGGTCGCTTTGAGGTGTTATCGGGCTTTGTGAATGCGGTCTTCCTAGTGCTCATCGCTGCACTCATCGTCTTCGAGTCCATTGAAAGGTGTGCCTTCGATTATGCACGAGATTCTGTAGAAGAATTCTCAAAAATCCACTGCAATCAGGCTGAATGCAGCCTTCTTAGTGCTCTGCTCATCGCCGCACTCATTGTCTTGGAGTCCATTGAAAGGTGCGCCCTCTTTCTGTCCATGGCTTCGATTCTCCCAAAACTTTTGAGTCGACTCAAAAGTCACCTTTCTGTCCATGGCTTCGATTCTCCCAAAACTGATGCATGTTTCTTGCTAGCCGTGTGAAAACACAACTGTTTCCTGCTGAGCATTCAAACCAAACAGCTTGATTATTTCATAGCCTTCTTTAGAGCTCGCTCCTGGGCCTGCAGAGCTTCACTCCTCTCTACGTATCCTTCTAGATCCTGGCTTCTTCACCCTCCGGCCTTCCACTTGTTGTCCCTTCTCGCTCCCTCATTCTCACTCCAGAATCCTGGACCCACCGGACATATCAACGGCGAACCTGCTGGCGGTGTCTGTGGGGGGCCTGGTGGTGAACATGGTGGGACTCGTGTTCTTCCATGAGGCCCACCACCACGCACACGGTGGCAGCTGCTCGCACTCCCACTCGCATGACCACTCCCACTCCCACGACCACTCCCATTCTCATTCTCACCATGAACATGAACACGAGCATGAGCATGGGCATGACCCTAGTGGGGCATGTTCCCATGCGCATCATGATCATGGGCATGGGCACGACCATCGTCTGGCGCATCAACACCACCACGACCATGGGCATAAGCATGATGATGACCATGGGCATGGGCATGAGCATGGGCACGGGCATGATTGCAACAGCCATTGTGTGCAACAGCATGATGGTAATCATCACCATGACCATGACGACAACAACCATCCCCATCATCACCATCACCACCACCACCATAAATCACATAGTCACCATGATGACAAGCATGCATGCGACCATGGGCATGGGCGTGGGCATGGGCATGGGAACGGGAACGGGCACGCACATGGGCATGAGGGGATTGCTGCAGCAGCAGCGGAGGACTGGGAGCAGGAGAATCAGGAAGATGCCAAGAGCAGCAGCACCTTCACCACCAGATCACTCTTACAGTCACCCATTTCAGTATCATCACCTTCGTATGAATCACCAGCGCTACCATCGTCAGGGGCAGAGAAACTTTTGGCCGTGCACAAAGCGAGGAGGAGAATAGGGCAAGGGGGTGCCGCTGCAGGAGGAGATGAAAGTTTTCAGGCGCTGCCCGTGAGGCTGGATTTTGAGGAGTGGGCAGGAGAAAGCAAGTCCGATGGGGAAGGAAAGTCGCACAAACAGGGGCATGAGCATGGGCATGAGCATGGGCATGGGCATGGGCATGGGCATGGGCATGAGCACGGGCATGAGCATGGGCATGAGCATGGGAATGGGCACTCACTTGAGCTTGAGCATGCTTATGAGAGTAAAGCCATGCCTCATGATTCCTCATGCTCATCGCTCAGCATGGATGTAGGAGGAGGGGATGGGCATGGGCATGGGCATGGGCATGGGCATGGGCATGGGCATGGGCATGGGCATGGGCATGGGCATGAACATGGACACAGGCATGGGGAGGTGGGAGCTGGAGATGGGGAGGGAGGAGAGGCATGTGTGCAAGAGGTGCTCACATCCGGCAGTGCTCATGTGGACCACAACATGCATGGTAGGCTCTCCGCTCTTTCTTGCTCCCCACATGCTGCTTCGTTTCCTCTAGTCATAATCGCTCGTGTTCTCCTTCTATCCCTTTGCTCCTGCTGCCCAGCACTCACTCTCGAATCCTTCCCACCCATCGCCTCCTTGCAGGAATCTTCCTGCACGTGTTGGCAGACACACTGGGCAGTGTGGGGGTGGTGATATCAACGCTGCTCATCAAGTACAAGGGCTGGATGCTCACAGACCCGGTGAGGAGTGGACTGCAGACAAATGGGTAAGGGAAAGGAAATACAGGGACACATGCTGGCAGATGGGTAGTTCCTTGCACATGTTTTTAGAAGCCTTCCTTCCTCCCAAACATCTGCAGCCGTCTCTTTGCCCGCCCCTTCCCACTCAATTCCGCTTCGCGCCTCCCTTTCCACTCTCCCCCTTCTCTCCACCCCACCACCACCAGGCGTGCTCCATATTCATATCAGCGCTCATCATCAGCACTGTCATCCCTCTGCTGCAACGTTGCCCCTCCACTCCCCCTTATCTCCCCATATCTCCCCCTTCTCTCCACCCCACCACCACCAGGCGTGCTCCATATTCATATCAGCGCTCATCATCAGCACTGTCATCCCTCTGCTGCAAAACTCAGCCGAAATTATTTTGCAAAGAGTACCTCGGGCAGCTGAACACCAAATTTCGGCTGCCCTGAAGAAGGTGAGCAGTAGGCTTAGAAAACCTTGGCGCTTCCATCTAGATGCATCTAGGCTTTCAAAAGCACCTTCTGGGTCTCGTGATTGTTCTGGTCTGTTGGTAAACTTGATTTTCCTTCGTGCTGCACGCCCCATTCCATGCCCCATGCCCCACACCCTTTCCTTCTCAATCAAATGCTCCGCATTTTTCCAAATGCTCGAACCATCATCCCATTTCCAATGGCAGATTGAGTCGATGGCAGGAGTGGTGGCGGTGCGGCAACGGCACTTCTGGTCCTTCACTCCCAAGATGCTAGTGGGCTCCATTCACGTGCTCATCTCTCCAGATAGCCTCAAAAATAGGGCCGAGGAGGGAGGTGCAGCGGCGCATAATGGAGATGCTTATAGCGAGTACGGGGACAAGCAGCGGCGGCTGGAGGCGGTTCAGCAGCTGCGGCAGTTGTTGAGGCGGCGGGTTTCGGATGTATTCCGGGCGGTTGGGATCACTCACGTAACGGTTGAGGTGGGTACTGCACGGTGCACATATGCTGGAACTTGCATGCAGCCTCTCATGATACAAATCACAGGGCACAGCGCATGGGGCATGCTCCTAAATGGTTTACACCTTCCCACAGACTCTGAGTTCTTGTCTGAGTTCTAGTCAGGATGACATACCTTCCCAACTCAGCTCCTCATCTCACGCTTCATGATTTGACTGCTTCCCACTTCCCTACGCTCATGCACCTTCTTTCTTCCCGTGCCTGTGCGTATTTCTTTCTCTCCCAAACCTGTGCATGTTCTTTTCTCTCCTATGCCGGTGCATATTCTCTTGCGTCATGCAGATAGAGGAAGCATCGACTCACCACCTGCACCATCGGCACCACCATCATCCTCACCATTCCCACGCCTCGCCTTTCCACACCCTCTCCCATGCATTCTCCCCCCACGCTGCACAGTAACACACATTCACCTACTTTGCACTAGTGACCACCATGCAGCAACGTGTGCTGTGAGGATGATAACTCACTTCAGTGCCCACGTGGCTGTGCTGCTACCATATCTGCTGGCAAAGTGTGCGTTATCACTGCGTTAGTTTCGCATTCAGCACTGCAGCCAGCCACCCTAACTCTGCTACGCACAGTTTGTCCTAACCTGGACCAAGAAATAGCACCAGGGATATACAGGTACTACGCATGGCACCAGCACTGGGCCTAGCAGCTGCCTGATTGCAAAAATGATTCTTCCTGTCGAATTTACAACCCAGCTGATGAATGGAAGCCAACTAACCAGACATCATCAGCAGGATAAAAGCAGAGAGGACACAAGCAAGGCATTCAACAACCAGATTTTCTGTAGCTGAACCGCGAGAAAAAAACGAGTGAGCACCGGAAACAAAATAGAACGCTGCTTGAGGCAGCATGGCAGGTGAAGCAGAAGCAGCAGCATTGACCATTCCATTTCAACTTGTAAAACATACGGTATGGAGTTCAGCCTCGTCGCTCTTTCTCAACTTATTGCTGCCAGTCGCTCGATCACAGCATTGCAGAAGAAGCAGCGGGGGCTGTTGAGGCGGTGCCGTGCCACACAGCGCTCACAGGAGGAGTGACCACAGGGGATGAACTGGGTGTCACTGGGAGCCGCGTAGCATATGCTGCACATCTCCCCCTCTTCCTCCTCCTCCTCCTCCTCCTCCTCCTCACCTTCCCCCTCCCATGTACCAGCACCAGCAGCAGCACCATCCATCCCCTCTGCGGTGGTGCCTTGCTCTTGCATGTGCTCTTTGCCCTTCTTCCCGCGACCTGGGAGGTGCAGGAAAGGGAGGAGCGGTGAATTGGAGGTGAGACCAGGCGGATGGGGGCAGGGAGGGGCAAACTCGCATGGAGACAGAGGAAGAGGGCTGTGCCAGTTCCCATGTTGCCCGTTCCTTTTCTGCCCATTCCCATGCTGCCAGCTCCCTCCCATGCGAACACTCAGTGCCCATGCGTGTACGCTTACCTGCAGCGGCAGCAGCAGCAGCGGCCTCTGCTGCCGCCTTGCGAGCAGCCTGCTCCCGCCTGAGCTGCTCCACAAAGAGGCGCAGATCCGCCAGGCACGCTGATGGTGGGCTGCTGAACTCACTCTCCTGTGGTGGGCGCGGGAGGTGAGAAGGATAACGGGGTGAGAGGCGTGAGTGGGGCGAGAGGGGTGTGAGGGGTTAGAAGAGACGCAGGCGGCAGGGGGATGGGAGCGGGGCTGAGTGAAACCCTCTACCTCAAATGCCACCTCAGGTCGCCCACAGTGAGTTGGGACACCTACCACCCCCTCACTTCCCTCACCCTCCCACTAGCTTTCCCATTCCGCCCCACATTCCCCTCCCCACTCACCCAGTCGAACCCCAGCAGGAACTCCAGCCCGGCCAGACAGTCAAGGGAAGGGTCTGCCTGTAGCACCGACCGCACCATGCCAGCTGGCGCGGTCCCATTGGCCCGCTGAGCATGCGAGAACAGGCCGCCTATGATGCCCACGAGGGGGGCGAGCACCATGGGGCGCGATGATTGGTCGGATGGGGACACGTGGTCCTGCAGGACACTGCAGTTGAGGAGTGAGAGAGGGAGGCAGAGGGAAGTGGAGGGAGGTAAGGAGGGAGGGAGGGAGGGAGGGAGGGAGGGAGGGAGGGAGGGAGGGAGGGAGGGAGGGAGGGAGGGAGGGAGGGAGGGAGGGAGGGAGGGAGGGAGGGAGGGAGGGAGGGAGGGAGGGAGGGAGGGAGGGAGGGAGGAAGGGAGGGAGGGAGGAAGGGAGGGAGGGAGGAAGGGAGGGAGGAAGGGAGGGAGGAAGGGAGGGAGGAAGGGAGGGAGGAAGGCAGGGAAATGATGCACATGAAGAGAGCGAGCACCATGGAGAGGGAGGAGCGGTCTGCACTCACCGCAGGACTCTGCGGTGAGTGCAGGGCATTGGGACATGGAACGCTAGACCATGGGTAGAGCGAGCACTGTGGGGCTGGAGGGGGCAGTCTAGTGCTTGTCTCACCCCTCCTCACCTCACCTCACCTCACCTCACCTCACAATCTAAGCTGTTTTCGTGGAATCTTACCCATCAAGAGCACGGGCGTCGGCACCGGAGCAGGTGTGGTTGAGAATGAAGAGCAGCAGCTCAAACAGCCGCATGCGGTTCATCTCATAATACCTTTTACAGCACAAACCGTTCCTGGATTTCAACCATTCTTACCCGTCAAGAGCGCGTGCATCAGCACCGGAGCACGTGTGGTTGAGGATGAAGAGCAGCAGCTCAAACAGCCGCATGCGGTTCATCTCAGGATCGAGAGAGCAGTCAGATGCAGAGGGAGCAGAGGATGCAGACGGCGCAGGGGATGTGGAGGAAGCAGGAGTGGTGGCAGGTGCAAGTGCTGTCATTGCTTCTCCTTCAGCTTCAATGGACTCTCTTCCTCCCTCTCCCTCGCCCTGAGTGACTAGCTCCACCCTGGCCCTGCTCCCCTCTTCTCCTCCTGAAACTCCTTGCATCTCTCCTTCACCTCCTCCTTCTCCTCCCTCTCCTCCTCCTCCCGCAGCTGCTGCTGCTCCTCCTGCTTCACCCCCTTCTAGAGCCTTCTCCCCTTTTTCCCGGCCCCCTCCCCCCTTCAAAGAGAGAAAAACCTCCGGAGAAGCCTCACAGAGAACTTCCAAAAGCCTAGCAAGGTTACAAGTAAGGTCAAACATGACACTGCACTTGCGCTGCTGCAGCTCCCACGCCTGCTGCTGCTGCTGCTGCCGCCGGTTCCGCCGCCGCCGCTGCTCCTCCTCCTGCTGCTGCAAGTCCTGCACCTCTTTCAAAGCCACCAGGAATTCTGTGAGAGTCCAGTTGAGAGTGTTGAAGAGGCGGTTTAGGAAAGGAGAGAAGAGGCTCGGCTGGTGCAGGTAGAGCTGGTGGAGGGAGTGCTGGAAGAGAGGCGCGAAGAGGGAGGGCGTGGAGGAGGAGGAGGAGGAGAGGGAGAGCGAGGGGAAGCTGGAGGGGCCTCCGAAGGGGTTGGTCACACAGAGACGCAGGAGAATCTGGGTGGTGGGTGGGGGAGAGAGGTGCAAGGTGGTTGTGTATCAACGGAGAGAGGTGCAAGCTGGTTGTGTATCAACGGAGAGAGGTGCAAGCTGGTTGTGTATCAACGGAGAGAGGTGCAAGCTGGTTGTGTATCAACGGAGAGAGGTGCAAGCTGGTTGTGTATCAACGGAGAGAGGTGCAAGCTGGTTGTGTATCAACGGAGAGAGGTGCAAGCTGGTTGTGTATCAACGGAGAGAGGTGCAAGCTGGTTGTGTATCAACGGAGAGAGGTGCAAGCTGGTTGTGTATCAACGGAGAGAGGTGCAAGCTGGTTGTGTATCAACGGAGAGAGGTGCAAGCTGGTTGTGTATCAACGGAGAGAGGTGCAAGCTGGTTGTGTATCAACGGAGAGAGGTGCAAGCTGGTTGTGTATCAACGGAGAGAGGTGCAAGCTGGTTGTGTATCAACGGAGAGAGGTGCAAGCTGGTTGTGTATCAACGGAGAGAGGTGCAAGCTGGTTGTGTATCAAAAGATCAGAAGGCGAATCTCCTGGAGGCGTGAAATGGGTTGAAAGAAATTGCTGAGCTGTGAAAAAGAGGAGGAGCATATGCGTGAAGGCAATGGGGAGTCACCTGGGAGACAGAACCCTCCTGAGAGGCAGAGACACCTGAGGAAATACCTGAGAGGCAGAGACACCTGAGGAAATGCCTGAGAGGCAGAGACACCTGAGGAAATACCTGAGAGGCAGAGACACCTGAGGAAATACCTGAGAGACGGGTATCCAGAAGCGCTGGTCAAATGCGTTGAGAAGGCTGGGCATGAAGCATGTGCGGGCGGCCTTGTTTGTCTCTAGTGCGACGGAGAAGGGCGGCAGCTGTAGCAGCACGGAGAGCGTCTGCAGCAGCTGGTCTCTGGTGTCTGGATTGGCGATCCTTGCATCGCTGAACCGCGTGAGCAGGAAAGATATCTGCGAGAGAGGGTTACACACATGCACGGACAGGGCATTAGAGAGTGGGAGTGTAAAATGGGGTTTTTTCCTGTCTTGAAGACAGAAGGAGGGGTATGTCTTGAAGACAGAAGGAGGGGTATGTCTTGAAGACAGAAGGAGGGGTATGTCTTGAAGACAGAAGGAGGGGTATGTCTTGAAGACAGAAGGAGGGGTATGTCTTGAAGACAGAAGGAGGGGTATGTCTTGAAGACAGAAGGAGGGGTATGTCTTGAAGACAGAAGGAGGGGTATGTCTTGAAGACAGAAGGAGGGGTATGTCTTGAAGACAGAAGGAGGGGTATGTCTTGAAGACAGAAGGAGGGGTATGTCTTGAAGACAGAAGGAGGGGTATGTCTTGAAGACAGAAGGAGGGGTATGTCTTGAAGACAGAAGGAGGGGTATGTCTTGAAGACAGAAGGAGGGGTATGTCTTGAAGACAGAAGGAGGGGTATGTCTTGAAGACAGAAGGAGGGGTATGTCTTGAAGACAGAAGGAGGGGTATGTCTTGAAGACAGAAGGAGGGGTATGTCTTGAAGACAGAAGGAGGGGTATGTCTTGAAGACAGAAGGAGGGGTATGTCTTGAAGACAGAAGGAGGGGTATGTCTTGAAGACAGAAGGAGGGGTATGTCTTGAAGACAGAAGGAGGGGTATGTCTTGAAGACAGAAGGAGGGGTATGTCTTGAAGACAGAAGGAGGGGTATGTCTTGAAGACAGAAGGAGGGGTATGTCTTGAAGACAGAAGGAGGGGTATGTCTTGAAGACAGAAGGAGGGGTATGTCTTGAAGACAGAAGGAGGGGTATGTCTTGAAGACAGAAGGAGGGGTATGTCTTGAAGACAGAAGGAGGGGTATGTCTTGAAGACAGAAGGAGGGGTATGTCTTGAAGACAGAAGGAGGGGTATGTCTTGAAGACAGAAGGAGGGGTATGTCTTGAAGACAGAAGGAGGGGTATGTCTTGAAGACAGAAGGAGGGGTATGTCTTGAAGACAGAAGGAGGGGTATGTCTTGAAGACAGAAGGAGGGGTATGTCTTGAAGACAGAAGGAGGGGTATGTCTTGAAGACAGAAGGAGGGGTATGTCTTGAAGACAGAAGGAGGGGTATGCGCAAGAGCGAGAAAGTCGGGTAACGGGATGGAGATTCGAAGAGGGGGATCAGGGTGAGAGGGCATGCCGGTGCAACCATGCCGGTGCAACCATGCCGGTGCAGGTACAGGTGCAGGTGAAACCATGCCGGTGCAACCATGCCGGTGCAGGTGCAGGTGCAGGTGCAGGTGGTAAGAGGGTCAAGCCTGATGGATGTTGTCGGGCTTACGAAGGGAGCGAGGTGATGCACGGAGTGGCGGAGTCGGAAGAGTGGCGGGTCGCAGCGCCTGAAGGCATGGAAGGCCTCGATCTGCAGGGGCAAGCGACATGAAGGACACGGCGACATGAAGGACACGGCGACATGAAGGACACGGCGACATGAAGGACACGGCGACATGAAGGACACGGCGACATGAAGGACACGGCGACATGAAGGACACGGCGACATGAAGGACACGGCGACATGGGGGACACGGCGACATGGGGGACACGGCGACATGAAGGACACGGCGACATGAAGGACACGGCGACATGAAGGACACGGCGACATGAAGGACACGGCGACATGAAGGACACGGCGACATGAAGGACACGGCGACATGAAGGACACGGCGGCATGGGGGAAAAGGGGTGCGGGAAGAGGGGCGGTGGGAAAGGTGGGAGAGAAGGGGTGAGGGTTGCGGAAGCAGATGGAGGGATGAAGAGAAATGAGTCAAAAGATGCGCCATCCCCACACCATGGCAGCAGATAAGGGTAGATTCGACCCACATCACCAGACTTAGCTCGTCCTATTCTCCACTAATCTATGCTAGGCTCAGTAGGGATTAAGGAAGCAAGGAAACTGTCATTCCAAGACTGAGCGTACGCGCGTTTCGGCCGATGGCCTTCGTCAGCGCTTCAGACAGCAACCCGCCTGGCTTCCAGTACACCTCAGGCACGTAGGCAAAGATGTGGCCCCGCTTGCTGGCAGCCGGCAGCAGCTAGTTCCACTCTTCTCTACCCCATACCATGATCACACAAGACAGTATCCCATATGCCGTCAACATAGACAGCAACGCACCATTGCTTCCAAATAGACCTCTGGCACGTAGGCAAAGATGTGGCCCCTCTTGCTGGCAGCCAGCAGCAGCGAGCCCACCCTCCTGCTCACCCCCACCAGCGCCCTCTGCTTCCACGCAGCACCGCCCAGCACCGCTCTCCACCACACTGCAAGCCTCACACTCTCATCCACGTCCTCTCGGAACACCTGTCTCGCCTCCCTCAGCTGCTGCGCCCGCACTGACCCTCCCACGCCCACTCTGGATGTACCTCCCCTGGATGTACCTCCCCTGGCTGCAGCCGCAGCTGTACCTCCCCCCGGTGCTCCAACAAGTCCCACTGTTGCTGTCACAGCGGGTGCCTCCGCCCCTACTGCTGCACCAGTGCCTGCAGCACCCACGACAGCCCCCTCTTCTTCCCCTGCCACTCTCCTTACTCCTGCCGCCGCCCCCGCCCCCGCCCCCCCCCCCCCTGCCCCTGCCCCTGCCCCTGCCCCTGCCCCCGTCCCCGCCCCCGCCCCCGCCCCCGCCACCGACCCTGACCCTGTCGCCGCCACTGCGCCTGCCTCTCCGTCTGTCGCAGCTCCCTCCGTGCGCCCCCCCATGGCAGCGGCGATCTGCCTGTCCGCATCTTCCAGCTGTGCCACCGCCTGCACCATGCCCTGCTGCTGCAGCGCCGCCTGGGGAGGGTTGAAGCGGGAGGCAGAAGGGAGGGGAAGGAGCGGAGGGAAGGGAGGATGGAAGGGAAGGACGAGAAGGCAAAAGCCTGCAGACGAGAGGAAAGGAAAGGAGGTGGGGAAGGGAGAGAAGGAGGGTGCAGTGGCAGCGGGGCGCAGGAGCAGCTAACAGCATGAGTATAATGGCCTGTGTGGGACTCACGTGATAAAAAAAACATTTTGAGACGTCTCAACATGTTACTTTTATTTTGAGTCGACTTGTTTTGAGTCGACCCAAAACAGGTCTCAAGATGTTACTTTTATCAAGCAGCCAACAGCATGAGCATTATGGCCTGTGAGGCAATCACACTGACTGACTGACTGACTGACTGACTGACTGACGGACGGACGGACCTGTTTGAAGGCACCCACGCCCCTGAGGTGGAACAGCAGCACGGCCATGTCCAGCAGCAGCACCTCCCTCTCATCCTCCTCCCCCTTCCCCCTCTCCGCCTTCTCCTCAACCCTCTCCTCCCCCTCACGTTCTCCATCCCCCTCACTCCTCCCTCCTCCCATTTCCCTCTCTTGCACCCCCTCTGCTCTCCTCCCCCCGCCTGCTCCCCCTCCTTCCCCTGTACCTCCTCCCCCCGTCCCCCGCTCCTCCCTTCTCCTCTCCCCCGTTCCCCCACCCGCCTCCTCCTCCCCCTCCTCTCCCGCCGCCCAATGATCATCATCCACGTCATCATCAGTCCATGTCACGCTGGCAAAGTCCTGCGGCGCGGAGAGGGGGAAGGTCTTGGCCACGTGGCTAAAGAGCCCGCCCAGGCGTGGCAAGTCAAAGTAATGCAAATCCGGGTGCAGGAATAAGGGCACAGGAAACTTCCACCGCCCGTGGCGCTGCAGGTAACCCCCTGCAGGGATGGCAGCAGTGCTGGTGGCACCTGTGCTGGTGCCCGCAGTGGCAGTGGCTGTAGTAGCTGCTATGCTGCTGCTGCTGCTATCCAAGGCACTGCTTGCCTCTTGTCGCTCCCTCCAGCTGCTCCTAATGGCCCCAGAGGGGGTTCTTGGCCACGGAAGCATTGATACTTCCTCGCTCTCTTCCTCCTCTTCCTCTTCCCCCTCCTCCTCCTCCTCCTCTTCCTCCTCCTCTTCCTCCACTTCCCATCCCTCCCTCTCTACCTTCCCCACCCGCCTACCCTCCCTCCCTGACGTTCCTTTTTCAAAATCAACCTCCATTCCCTCTGCTTCTCCCTCTCTTCCACTCCCTGATTCTACTAAGACATGTGACCCTCTTAAAACCCCAGCTCTCTTTGTCTTCTGCAGTTTCCCGCCTCCACGGCCCACCAGCCCCGCCCACAACAGCCGCAAGAGGACAAAAAACGCCGTCACCAGCACGCTACTATCCGAGAGCCCGGGCGGCACAATATTCCTGTTCGCCGCCCGGTTCTTGCGGATCAGGCTCCTCAGAAACGGTGCAAGCACGCCGCCAGTTGCAAGCGAATAAGTCGACGAAGCCCCGGTCATGCTCTTAGAGGGTACAAAGAAGAGGAGAGAGCGGCAGAGCGACACTTGGCAGAGCTCCACCCTAGACGTTGCCTTCACAAGTGCCTTCTTGCTTTCTTCCAAGCCTGCTTCGCTGCAGTCGTCCTCCTTACAGCCAGCCCACCACAGCGAGGGAAACAGCCTCTGCAGATCCACCCTTGTGGCTACTCTGCGGGTCAAGAATGCCTCTAGATTGGAGGAGAATCCGTCTGCTGCCCACCATGCGCTTAGCACCTCCTGTCGCTTAGCTAAGTGGCAGGCCAGGGATAGGTACAGGTACGGATCCCGCCCCTCTTGCCAAACCTCTGGGGGTTTTCCCGAGCCGGAAACTGCTTCTGCTCCTGCACCGGCTAGGTTCGGCACTGTGAACGCAGCCGAACCTACGAGGGAGGTTCGGGAGTGGAAGGCTAGGGCGTCCATGAGGGCCGGGATGATCCCGGACCACTCATGGTCCTCCAGACACAGGTGAAGCGAGTCCATTACTCCGTCCACCATCCTCCACCCTTGCTGCTTTTGCTGCTGCTGCTGCTGCTGCTGCTGCTGCTGCTGCTGCTGCTGCTGCTGCTGCTGCTGTGGACTGTGTCTGCTTGCACCCTGCTTCCCCCCACCTGTGTTTAGCCCCTGTCTGGGCGCCAGTTGGAGGAGTAGAGGCAGCAGGGAGGCCCATACAGCATACCCCCCTCGCACCCACCCCACACCCTCTGCCACTCCCCCCCCTCCTTTGCCCTCCCCCGCCCTCCTCCCCATCTGTCTCTGCACCTCCATTCGTGCCCCCCCTGCCAGCAGCAACGGCCCGAGCCTCTCACACAGGAGCTCCGCCAGGAGAACCTCGTCATCCGGGCCTAGCGGACAGGTTCGGAATGGCAGGCTCGATGGGGGGCTGTGGGGGAGCGAGGAGGAGGAGGTATGTGGAACAGGGGAGGAGAACGAGGAGGGGAGGGAGGAGGGAAGGGAGGTGAGGTGCAGCAGGCGAGAAAGGCAGTGGAGGAGGTAGGAGGAGCACGCAGCTGCATCCAAGTCTGCAACGCGAGGGGCACCTGCTGCGCTGTCTGCTGTGCGTAGATGGGAGTGCGGGTGGGGCGAGGTGGGTTGCAGGGTAGGCAGGAGGAAGTGACCGACGTGGGTGGGGAGTGAGGCAGGGTCGATGGGAGGTGGAGGCGAATGCACGGGAGCAGCAGCAGCAGCACTGTCGGTAGGGGCAGAAGCCGCAGCAGCAACATCTGTAGCAGCGGGGGCAGCAGTAACAGCACCCGTGGCAGCAGCTGTGGCAGCAGCTGTGGCAGCAGCTGTGGCAGCAGCCGTGGCAGCAGCCGTGGCAGCAGCACCAGCAGCAGCATCCACTGCATCTGTAGCAGCAGAGGGCATGGGCCAGCACAGGCGAGGTGGCGACTGCAGCGGGAGGAACCCGGTAACCGGGTAACGAAACGGGCGGGCACCGAAGTTAAGCTCGCAGCGCTCCCCGTGGGAGATGGAGATGGCTGGGAAGTAGGCCAGGCCCCTCTGTAGCGCCTTCACTCCTGTGAAGGCCACTCCCAGACACTCCCCGTTGCGGTAGAATGTCACTCTCCCCACTGCCGTGCCACCACTGGATGCCCTACCAGCAGCACCAGCACCAGCGGCACCAGCACCACCGCCACTCCTTCTGCCACCACCAGCACCAACACTACCAGCAGAACCAGCAGCAGCAGTAGCATCAGCAGCAGTACTACCACCAGCAGCAGCAGCAGCTTCCGAACCTGCACCCTCTCCTCCCGCCACACCGCCATCCCCCTCCAGGTCAATACAGCAGCCAATCACATCATGCGCCGCCCACGGCTGCCCATACTGCGCGGACCACCCACTCCACTTCCGCACCCTCTTCCCATCAAAAGCATACGAGTCAGGCGCGTCCCCCACGCCCTCCTCTGCCGTGAACGGGCACGCCAATGTCGCCCAGCCAATCTGCTGAATGCCGGAGGAGCCTAGAGTCGCCTCGTACTGCCACCTGCCCGAGTAGACGCACACATTGGCGCGCGCGCTGCTGAAACTGCTTAGGGATTCGAGAATCAGGCCGCCTCCTAGGTCCTCTCGTGCACTGCCTCTGCCTCTTGACCGGCCCCCTGCTGCTCCCCTTCCTGCTCCTCCTCCTGCTGCTGCTGCTCCCGCTCTGCCCAGGGACTCTAGCAACAACCCTTCCCATCCTACCCCCCCGCCTCCACTTCCCCCTCCGCCCGCTTCCCCCCCTGCGCCCCCCCCTGCGCCTGCCCACTCGATCCCCTCGATTTCAACCCCCTCCATGTCCTCCTCCGCCCATATGCTCCGCAGCGCCGCAGCAGCATCTGCAATCCCCCGCCCGCGGCTGCTCCCCACACCCCCACCCTCCGCCTCCCCTTCCACCCCTCCCCCCGCCCTTTCCGCCGGCCCCCATGGCCCGCCCCCTTCCACCTTAATCTCCCCAGAGAACGAGCTACGTACCATGTAGACTATAGGCGGTCCTAATCTGCCTATTAGGCCTTCCGCGGCGGGATTGGTTATGGTACTGCCGATGCTACTCCTGTTACTTGTGCCGCCCAAATCTTGTCGTCTAGGAGCTCTAGATTCGCTGATCTTTGCCATCTGCAAATCCAGGAAATCGCTGATACGATCAAGGTCGAGATATCCTCCACGTGTCCATCTCCCACTGGTGGACGGCATGGGAAGCTTATCCGCGGTATAAGTCTCTTCAGTGTTTCGATCCGACATCACCACATCCCCGCTCTCATCCAACAAGTCTCTTCCCTGTCTTGTCACAAGTCCCCCGCCTTCCTCCTCCAACCGCCCTTCCGCTTCTTCCGCCGCCGAACGCGCTCCCTTCCCGTCAGTCCCCCCATCAGCGTCTCCCCGCAAAATAAAATTCACGGCGGCCTGAAAATCCGCCTGAAAATCCTCCTGAAATCCCGCCGCGTGTTGCGCTGGCACCGCATCTCGCCCGCACCGCTCCCTTACTCCACACTCGAAATCCTCCAAAGTGATAATCTCCAAAAGCGGAGCGGATTGTATCGGGGACGGCGCCAGCAGCTCCGCTAAGCCTCTCCGCGAACTCTCCATGTCTGTTTGGCAGATGGCAGGCGTGTCTCACCCGCACGTGCACTGCAGTGGGCGCAACAATGCTCGAGAAGAAGCCGTGCCGCGGATAGAAATGATGAAGGCTGCAGGAAGATTCGACAGCGAGCACGGAAAGACAGCGACGATGAAAAGCCAGGAAAGCCACGAGGAAACAAGAGACAACGCAAGGCAAGGCAATAGATGCGGTGCGGGAGCTAGGATATCTCATGGAAAACCTGTGCTTGTTCCCGCCGTCAAGTATCTCATGTCTGCAGAAATCAGGTCGCATGAAGTAGAGCGAAATGTGTGTTCGCGGAATGTGTCATGTGTAAGTGTCTCCTCTACCAATCTGAAGTGTCGATAACATGGATTGTTTAGTTATCTCATTTCACAGCTGAAACATTCCCTTTACAACGTCAATAATGTCAGAAGCATTAATGGCATCACATTGAAAACAGTACATGCTACATCCGAAATTGGTCCACACCTGTCTTGAAATGGCTCCCTATAACCACCATCATTGAAAAAACATTGTACGTGATTATTGTAATTGTACTAGATACTACGCCAAACCTACCGTACATTGTTTCAATTATTACATTAGATTTATTACATTCTGTTGCGATCAGAAGTTGATCGTTCTCAGGATCACCTCAGGAAGGTTCGCAGACTACTGATTTAGTGGTGGTGGGCCCTTGACCTCAATAGCAGAGTGAATGTAAATGCTTGAGATGATGAAAACATGCAAATACTGTTGGGCTGAAAAACCCTTAGGATCTTTGCAGGGGTGAACTCCGGGTAGAGTTGGTGTAGTAGCGGAAGCGTTGATTAAAGGATTGTGAACCACCTTGCGCTAGTATGTGAGGGCAAAGTAAGTTGATTAAAGCAAAGAGATACAAGATTATATATGAATACAGGGAATATGAAAGACACTGTTATAACTACTTTACTGTTGCTGTTGCGGTTAGATACAGTGACGACTCGGGCAACTGCTCTGTAAAGAGCCAGTTGTGTGTCCTTGCTGTCGCGCTGTATTTGTCAGGTCAAAGGTTGCTGACCTTTGACTTTCGCGTAACCTCCGACAGTTACTTCAACCTCCGAGGGTTGACTCGCTGGTGCTTCGATAGTGTTTTGCTTCGCTTGTGTCTTGGTGTTTCGACACGACAGAGGCGCTTAGGACCGATTGTTTCCAACACTCCCCTTCGCTTCTGGAGTGTCGCTGACGTGGCTCTGTCCAGTCAGCAGCATGCAGTATTCGAACTTCTGCTTTCCGAGCTTCTTGGTCAGGTAGTCAGCTGCCATCTCGGACGTGGGACAATATGACAGCTCGAGCCTTCCCTTCGCGATCTCGTCCTTCACGAAGAAATATTGCAGGGCGATGTGTTTCGTCCTGTTCGCGAAGCCGTTCTTGTTGGCGACGCGAATTGCCGACTGGTTGTCGCAGAACAGGGTAAAGTTGGGTAACTCGGCTAACTTCGCTTCTTCCAGCAGCTCGCGAAGATAGAGTCCTTCCTTGGTGGCTGAGCAGAGTGCAATATATTCTGCTTCAGCTGACGAGAGAGCAATTAATTCCTGCTTGCTCGATTGCCAAGAGATAGGTCCGATAGGTTCGAGACGGTAGATGTAGCCGGTGCGGGAGCGCCTATTGTCGGAGACGCCAGCGTGATCAGCGTCGACGTAGCCGATTAACTTAGTCGGTGTGGTTGCGTTCTTGTAGTAAGTTAGGCCGATCGTTGGCGTGCTGACGAAGTAGTGAAGAGCGCGGTCGAGCTTCGCCAGATGTTCTACTTCAGGCTTCTTGAGGTAGGTGGCGAGCTGGCTTGCGGAGTATGAGAGGTCGGGGCGACAGGTGACGGCTGCAAAGAGAAGACATCCCAGCTTCTTCTGGCAGTCTCGTATGCCGGCGGGCTTAAGTAGAGCGGAGCTTCCTTGGTCGTTCCCTGCCGTGTATTGGTATGGCGTGGAGATGGCTGTCGGTTTGAGCGTAAAGCGTTTAGCGATAGTGTCAGCATATTTCTCGGCGCTGAGGTAGATCGCGTCCTCCTCTTCCCGGATGTTGAGGCCGAGGTACTGAGTGACGGTAGATGAAACTGTGAGCGTGAGATCTTGACGCAGCTCCCCTTCAAACCAGGTAGTGATGCCGTCAGTTGAGCCGATGTAAAGGAGATCGTCCACGTAGACGATTAGTAGGATGTAGTCGTCATTTTTTGTGAGCCGGTACATTCCTTGATCGTGCGGTACTTGCTTGAAGCCGATGCGGATGAGGCGAGCATGCAGGTACTGTTGCCACAGTCGCGGAGCCTGCTTGATGCCGTAGAGTGACTTGAGTAGCTGGCAGACTTAGTTGGGTTCTCTGTGGGAGCCGTGCGGTAGCTCGACGAAAATTTCTGCATCAACAGGTGCGTAGAGAAACGCGTTCGCGACGTCAATTTGTCGCATCTTCTTCTTCATGGCGGCGATTGCGAGGAGAATGCGTAGTGAGGTGTGGCGGCTAACCGGAGCGAAATTTTCGGTGAAGTTTCGTCCATGTTCTTGGTCGAAGCCGCGTACAACCCAGCGAGCTTTAAATTTGTCAATGGTGCCGTCAGCCTTTGTCTTCACACGGAAGACCCACTTCCCGGTGAGCAGTGTCTTGTTCCGTGCCACGCCGATAGGAACCACTTTCCACGTGTTGCGTTCCTCCAGTGCCTTCAGCTCCTTGTCCATGGCTTCGCGCCATTTTTCCTTATGCTCCCCCCCTAGAGCCTGTTGAACTGTCGCAGGCTCTTTAGGAATGGCAGTGCCGTGGACTGCGGTGACGAGTCCGAGAATTTGCAGTCCACTCTGTGAGTAGCGGGGAAGATTTGTGTCCTCGGGATAAGCTGCTTCATCTCCCGCTTCTGGATCAAGTATGAAGTTTGGTCCTACTCGTTCTGCTTCGTTGGTGTTGACTGTTGCAGGTGTTACGTAACCGTTGTCGGCGAAATGGTAGAAGGTTTCGGCGTTGACACTTTCGCGAGGGTTATCTTCGTCCATGGGAACGTCGACGGAGCAGAACGGAAGAGGTCCGGCTTCTTCTGATGCGTTGTCCATATGCTGCTCGTCCCAGTCAGCTTCGTCCGCTGCTGAGGCAAAGGCTCGGTCACCGCGAAAACCACCTGTGGGATCCTGGTCTTCTTGCAGGTTGGCAAGGTATGTCTGGAGCGTGAGTCGTTCATAGAAAATTACATCACATGCTGCTACAGTTTCCTTTGAGTGGACGTCGAAGATTTTCCACGCGTTGTAGTTCTTTTCGATGCCCAGGTGTAGTCCCCACTGTGCTCGATGAGAAAATCGGCCCACTCATGCTGCTGGGGGTCGGTACTGTACCATGCATCCAAATACTCGTAACATTTTTGTGCTGCCCTGTTTCCCCGTCCATAGCAGATGCGGTGATGCGTTGTTTGGAAGCGATGATGACGAGAGCAAGTTGTGCAGCATGACGGCGTGGTGCATTGCCGCAGGCCACTGGTGGTTGGGTAGCCGCATGCCACGTAGCAGTTTGCGCATGCTGTTCTGCAAGGTCCTGTTCATTCTTTCTGCTACACCTTGCTGCTGATGGGCGTAGGGAAGGGAGATGAGTCGCTTAATTCCCCTTTCCGCCAGGTACTGCTTGAATCGCTGAGAGGTGTATTCTCCTCCTCCGTCGGACTGGAAGCTTTTCAGTTTCACGTCCGATTATCTCTCTGCTACTGGTAGCCAGGCAACGAAGGCTTCGAATGCCATGTCGCGGCTAGGGAGGTTTAGGTGCCAGACGTAACGGGTGGCGGCGTCGATGAAGGTGATTGTACAGTTGTATATTACTTGTCCTGGTTCCCGATTGAACAGGATGTTGCTATACACCTTCTCGACTGGTGCGTACGCGGGTGCGCTCGGGTTGTGATGAGACGCAAACGGTCGATGTGGTAAGTCACCTTCAGGGCAGGTGAAGCACGTTCCGCGTACTCGTTGAAGTTCTCGTCCGTCGGTCAGTAGGAGTGAGTCCTTGTCGAGTACTCCTGCTCTTATCGTATTGTTTAATACTGTGTTGCTTGGGTGTCCCATCCTTGCGTGCCAGGTGCTTTCGTCGGCGCGATGTCCGGGTGATCGTCGGTACATATCGGAGTTGGAGTAGAAGTTGGCGGTGAAGTTGGCGCTACGATGAACTTCTCGTGGTGCTGGGTGTAGTTGTTGCGCGGGTGTTGGTGGTGTGTCGTCGATGAGGAGCGGTGTCGTTGAAGGACCAGCAATTGGTGTTGACGTTCCTGCTGCTGCCGTTGATGGTTCAGCTACTGCCGATGTTGTCTCTGCTGCTGCCGATGTTGTCTCTGCTGCTGCCGATGTTGTCTCTGCTGCTGCCGGTGTTGTCTCTGCTGCTGCTGATGTTGTCTCTGCTG